GCAGTCGAGGCGGCTGGTGCACCCTGTTGCGCTCCCACGGTGGGAGCTGCTGCTTGTAGTTTCTCCCGCATGACCTCGATTTCCGGGTCCGGCATCACGATGCTGGCGAGGATCTCTTCGTCCACCCCGCCGGCCTCTTCCGCCGCTCTCCACACAGCCGCCTCCACCGTTGACCCACTCGGCCCTGCAGTCGCCGCCGCGACGTTCGCTGCCTCTGCTCCTTGGTCGACCACCTGGTTGCTGTGAGTCGGAGGAATTACCGGGGTTTTGTGACCCTGATCCTCGAGCCATTTCAGATACTCGTCGTACGATGGCTTTTGAGTGATTAGGGCCTCGACCGCCCGAGACTCAACAGCCGTTGGGATCGGGATGGGTTCCGCGGCGACCATGGCCCCATGAACGGGTAAGCTGGCCGCACCGGCAGCCTGCTGGACATGCTGTCCGACCACCGCTGCTGGGCGCAACAGCTCGTCGACCAGCGCCGTGACACCACCCGGTCGCGCGTCACGTGCAGTGGCAGGACTCGTCGCGGTGTGCGGATGCTGGCCCGCCGCGGCCTGCTGGACATGATGTCCGACCACGGATGCTGGGCGCAAGAGCTCGTCGACCAGCGCCGTGGCGCCAGCCGAACGCGCGTCCCGTGCAGTCGCCGGACTCGTCGCGGTGGGGGTATGCTGGCCCGTACCTGGCGGCCCGCCCTGCTGTCCGACCACCGCTGCTGGGCGCAAGAGCTCGTCGACCAGCGGCGTGACGCCAGCCGGACGCGCGTCTTGTGCGGTCGGCGTGCTCGTCGACGGGTGAAGATGCTGGCCCGCACCGGCCGGCCCGCCCTGCTGTCCGACCACCGCTGCGGGGCGCAGGAGGTCGTCGGGCAGCTGCGCTGTGACGCCGGTCGGTCGCGCAGTCGGCGTACTCGTCGAGGGTTGAACATGCTGGACCGCAACGGGCTCCCTGCGCGCCTGGCCGACCACCGCTGCGACGTGCATGTCGTCTGCCGTTTGGGCCGTGCCACCGCTCGGTCGAGCGCCTTGTGCAGTCGCCGGACCCATGAGCTCGTCGGCCAGACTCACCTGCTCGCAGCTCGGTGGCGCGTCGTGTGCGCTCGGCGGATCGGTCGGGGCCTGTGGCTGCTTGTCCCCCACGGGCTGGCCACCGGTCTTCCCGACCACCGACTGAGGATCCTCGAGCGCGACGTCGACCTGTCGAAAATGTTCGCTCGGTCGCGCGCCAAGTCCATCTTTCAGCAAGTCGTGGACGCCGGGGATACGAGCATACGGAGGGGCAGGAGGATCCACGCCCACACCGCGTTTCACCGCAGGTCCTCTGCTTCGCTTAGAGCCGCTGGTCTGGTCGCCGGTCAGGGATTTTTCGTCGGCGACCCTTTTCCCCGACTGCCTTGGGGCCGGCCCACTCTCCTCGGCGGTTGCGCGACCGCCGGGCATCACCGACGCGAAAGCAGTTGGGAGGAGGCTAAACCCGGCGGTGCCAATGCCCTGTTGGGTCGCGGAGGTGACCGCCTTCACCAGGTCGTCCCTAAGCTCTTGGACGACCTTCGCAGTCACGGCAGCGGCGATCCGCTGCGCCTCGCCCTCCATGGCGGCCTTCACCTCGGCAGACACGACTGTTTTGATGTTCTGGCCGAGAGAATCTGCCACACCTCGAAGCAGCAGGAGGTCGTCCTCCCGTCGCCTACCCTGTGCAGCAGTAGCCGTCAAGTGCAGGGCCTGCACGGTGGGCAGCCACTGCGTGTTCATGAATTCGAGGGTGGAGCCGCGATAGCTCACCGCCTCCTGCACGACCGCCCTCACAGCGTCCACCGCCAGCTGGATGCTCCTCCCCGACGTCTGCTCGAGATGGGTCACGCCCTCGGCGACTGTAGTGAGCTTGTTCACGGCCGAGGTGACCACGCCGTAAATCGTGTCATTCCGGGCCGTTTGGAACTCCAGCCTCTTTTCCGCCACCAGCTTCTCCTCCCTCAGCTTCTTGATCTCCCTCTCCGCCGCCTTCAGACGCTCGATAGCCGCTTTTGACGCCATCCTAGGCGGGGTCGAGCCACTGCTGCCCCGGGCCTTCTTGCCCAACTTGGGTCCGCTGCCGCCGCCCATATCCGCAACCTTCTCACCGGCGAACTGCACTGCCTCCTCTTCGCCGGTGACAACCACGTCGTCCTCCTCACGCTCCACGTCCTCCTCCTCTTCTTCCGAGCCACCGTCGTGCTCCCCGCCCCCCTCAACGTCCTCCCTCTCGTGCTCCTCCTCCCCACCCATAGCGATGCCGGTTTCGACGCCACGGGCCACGGTCGACGCCGCCTCCCCTCTGTTCGACGCGGCCTTCTCCGCGTGGTGCAGCAGCTCCAGTCGGAGCGCCTTCAAGCCGACCATCTTCGGGTTCTCGACGATGAGCGGATCGTAGCTGCGAAACACGTCGTCGAGATGCTCCAAAGACCACGCGAACGCGTTGACCGCCAACAGCCCCGAGCCGGCGACCTCCTCCTTGAGGATGTCGGGCAATTTCTGCATCAACATCCGAAGCACACGGCGACGACGAAAAGGGTGAGTCGACGCCTCGACGACGATAGCCCAGGCGACAAGGCGACATGGACGTTGGAAACTCACATCACGGATGGGGGCGGCAAGACTCTCCAGACGTTCGAAGAGGATTTCGGCGGAAGGAGGCGCAGCCGTCCACTGCCTTCCCTCACGGTTCAACTCCGCCTTCGCGCACTCGGCGAAAAACCTGCGCTACGAGAAGGGAAAGAGCCATCAGACAAGGCGGCATGAACGCCGTTAAAGAGCGGCGCGACTAGCCGTCGACGTTGTCCCACCTCATAACGTTGGCCGCCTCCTCCTCGTGCCGCTTGGAGGAGGTCTTGGGGTCGAGGTGGCGGTAGAACGTCCCGATCTCCTCCTCGTCGGGCAAAAGCAGGTCGCCAGGGCGCACAACAAGCAGGACGCTGCAGTGCCTGCCGGGAAGAGGTCCGCCCCTGCCCACACAAGCACGACGGAGACATTCAGGGTTCTGTCCAGGAACAACAAGCAACTCGGTCGGCGTGGATCAAACCTCGCGGGCGCGGAACACTCACCCGGTGCACAGGGGGATGGCGAGGGCTTCGAAGCCGAAGGCCGACCCGAAAACCAGATAGTCCGCCTTCGACGCCGTCCTGGCGGCGCGAAGACTCGCACCGCGGATCAGGATCATGCTGTCGCCTTTTCCCAGACGATCGAGCTCGTACCTGGGACAAGCGGGGGCGAAAAGGCGGGAGCGAAACACTTGCGCGGTGAGCTACAATCCATGCCGGACGAAGGTAAAGCACGACGGCGATGTCGCCGGAAGCATGACGGACGTCACCGACGTAGGGCCAATGGTCGACTAGTTGATAAGACGACGCAGCTAAAACGTCCATCGCGGATGGACATCGTCGACCACACGGGAAATCGACAAGGCCAACGTCGACCTAGAAAGGACGCCGACGAAAACGCGCTGAACCCTAAACAACTGACAGCGCGACCTAGGGATGCGCGCTCACCCGAGGCCGAGGTCGAAGCAAGGTTCTGTGAACTCGGCCTTCTCGTCGCGAAGGACTTCGTAGTCCTTCATCTCAAGCGTCACCCCGTACCCACCGACGCCCACTGGCACGTGGAGGGGGAATTCAGTCGCAGGTAGTGCTATCCTACTGGTCGCCATGCTAACACCACGGTCGGTATCACGGAAGGTTTGGGGAGGAGCGCGGAGAGCTGACAGGGAGGCAGAGGAAATCGGAAAGCGAAGGTGGAAAGGAGAAATGAGGGATGGAGTGGGACCCCCCATCAAGAAATGGGTCGTGGGCCGTCGGTCGGTCGCCTAGTATGCAGCTCGGCGGACGAGGCAGGTCGTCGTGGCCGAGGGCGAGCCTCTGGCTTCGGCCCGTACCGGGCATGCCCTCGAGGGCGGGGTTCGGAGGGGCGGAGGTGGGTGGTTTGTGTGGGCCGTGCGTGGGGGTGGTCGGGGTGGCGAGGGCGAGCCACGTGTCCCCTCCCGAGGGGCCAGCGATGTTGACGAGGGTGGGGTCGGGCCCTTTGAATTTCGCAACCAACCCGCCTGCCCGGCGAGGGCAGCCCGAGAGGGTTACTAGGGCCTCGCGGGCAACGCGAAGCGAATGTCCGCCTCCGTGAAGGGGTAACTAGGCCCCTCGTCGCTCACGCGCGAGTTCGCCACCCGTCGGCTGCAACGTGGGGTTCTGTAGGAATTCGGGGTGGGGGGGCCGGGGCGGGGGTCGTGGGCAGAGCCCCGCCCCGCGCCAGCCTGGCGGGGGACTCACGCGAGGGAGCTGGCCGCCCTGACGCTCGGTCGACCGTCACCCCCCCGCGTCGTCCCAGGCAAAAGGGGTGCGTCACCCTCAATTCCGATGAGCGATTCAGGGCAACAAATGGCTGTACCTGTGGTCCTATCCTCTGGTCCACTGGGCATATGGCCTAGTGGGTCAAGATGTCGGTTTCAGACGAAACCGAACTCGATACCTGTGTTCTCAGATGAAGAATTCTACACGTCTGGAAAAATCATACGAACCTAAAAGTCAAATCTTACTGATCAGATGAGAACAAACACAAAATCTTAGGATTAAGATGAATACTAAAAATCAAGTCTTAAACTCAGACCATCAGACCAAATTGGTCTGATAACGAGAACCCTGATTACAATCGGCAGAACGAGATATACAGTTTGGTGTAAAACAAATATATCTTCTTTTTGCCATTTTATAAGCGCCGGCGCTTATAAAATTCCTCAATTATAAGCGCACCCCCTAAAAAACAGTGTTTTTTTATAACCCCAGGGGCGCTTCTATCCGGGGGCTGACGGTATGGCTCTTCTTGGCTTAGGCTCATTTATATATTCAATATTATTGTGTGTTAAGAAATTTATGCACTTCTCCGAGTCAGAACTGTGGTTGAGGGAATGAAGGCAAGAACAAGCTAGTGCCTGACTTAACAGTACGGAAAAAAAACTCTGAAGACACCATAAATATGCACAAACTCATCATACTTGTGATAAAGGTGCTGCAATCAAGGATGCCAGCACTAGGAGGTGATTTGCCAAATAGCGCACACTACATCTTATTTCTGTCTTGGAGCACTGGAGAAGAAGCAAGGCAGGTGCAAGTCCAGAGCTCCCACAGCTGCAGGAGCAAATTCTGTGCTCTGCTCCTCACTTTCCTGTCTCTCCAGATCAGACCTCAAATCCTATGACTGGAGCAGTTGAGTTTCAGAAGCCTCGTAACTTGCACTTTTTCACGCCTTGGTAGCCCCTGGGTGCACGGGAGCAGCAGCAGCCACGGCAACAAGTACCAGAGCCCCCACAGCAGCAGCTAGGGACGTACCCCACAGCACCAGGGCCGTGTGGGCAGCACACCCCCCCGGCACCTCCCACAGCAACGCCCCTTCTGCCGCCATCTCCCTCCTCACCTCCTCATGCCTTTCCTCTGCTTCGTCTCCCTCCGAGTCTCCTCCCAGTCTTGCTGCTCCCCCAGACCTGTCCGTTTCCCCATCTGCAGCTGCTGGTTGTGACGACCAGGTGAGCCGCATGGGAAGGCACTCACAGCGGGGTGTAGTGACGGCGTCACATACTGCTGACAGTGATGCTTCTGCGCATGATGGCGATGCTGATGGTGATGTGGGCGATTTTGGTGCTGAGGATGGTGGGGATGATGATTCTACTGCTGGTGCGGACGCTGATGGCGGTGACTCTGGTGCTGAGGAGGATGGCGCTGATGGGTGCAAGGCGGATGGCCCCGGGCCGATTGGGGGAGGAGGCAGGACGAGGCATGCAGAAGGCAAGGGCACGTAAACCGCTGCGTGTGATTGGCTGCAGCTGCCGGTGATGGCCCATGAGAGAGAGGAGACGGTGGAGAGAGAGGAGTGAGTAGAGTGGTTTCCAGAAAGGGCGACTTGAAGTTGTTGCAAGTCCCAGGGGAGGGAGGCAAGTGTTAGGAGCGAGCGAGAGGCGGAGCGGAGGAGGGAGAGAGGGGAGAGTGGGGGGGAGAGAGTTGGCAGCACAGCCTGGCAGGGACAAGCAGGGGGAGGGCAGGGGGATAAAGGGAGGCGGTGATTGGGGACTAATAGAGGAAGTTGAATCTATCATGCTGGTAAGCAGTTCTTGGTGTACCTGGTAACCTTTTCAGAAACAAAAGTGCTGCGCCGTGCTTGATGATGACATTGGAGAGGCAGCAGGGGCAGTGAGGGATTGAGAGAGACGAATGCACAGTTTGTTTCACGGGAATTCATCATTCCGAACCAGCCTGCACAGAGGAATCTATGATAGCTGGAGGATACAGAGTCGTTACAGGTTACGCAGATTGCGAAGCTTACTATGAAACAAGGGGGTTGGTGGGCAACAAGACGATAAGAAGATGTGAACAAATGGAAGAGTCATTAAGATAGCGTGGTTACCGGGTAACGAGAGTGCAGAGGCAGGCTGAACTCCACTGAGTAAGTAACCTCATCTTCCCCCTCACGCACGCCCCCCTTCTCCCCCTTCCTCTCCCCCGCATGCACGTCCCCTTCCCCCTTTCTCACTTTTCCCCCTGCGCCTTCCCCCTCCCCCTTCCGCTCCCCCTCTCCCAATGCCACGTCCCTTTCCATGAGAGCCATTGTTGCTTCACACCGAGGCGCCGGCTGCTCCAGCTCCACCGGACCTACCACCCAGGCTCGGTCGCCCTCTGGCTCGGAGGGGCCGGAGGGAGGAAAGGGAGTAACAGGGGTAGGAGGGAGTGCGGAAGGGGTGAGAGGCAAAAGCATATTAAGGAAGGAGAGCAGGAGAGAGACGAGGCAGAAGGGTGGGGTTCAAGGCAAAAGCAGAATAATAATCAGCACCAACAGCACACCCTCACTGCACGCTCTTCCCCCATTCATCGCACCTGTACCCTCCTCAATGCGCCCCTTCCCCCATCACTGCACACTCCCCCGCCTTCACTGCGCATCTCCCCACTTCCGCTCTCCCTCTGCTTCCCCCCTCACGCGCCCAGAAACGCCTCCCCATCACCTGGTCGCAGGATTCGCTCCAGCTCTGCCTTGGCTGCGCTGCCCAGTGCCCACAGCTCCGCCTAAACTGCGCTACCCATTCCTCTGCGCGCTTCTCCCCCTCGTCTCACCATCCCAAGCGCCCACTAACCCGCCCCCCCCCCCCCTCCCTCACCTGGTCGCAGGATTCGCTCCAGCTCAAACGGATCGGCATACAGTCCACGTGGCACGGGCTGCTCCAATCGTATTGTGGCACGTGTCCTCCCTGCCGCCCCACCGCTTCCCACGCTTTCACTTGCAGCAGTGCAGCTACTGAGCTCTGGAACCGCTCTGCACCCATCTGTCGGCCGCTCCTTCTCTCCGCCGTCGGTTCTCCCTCCTTCCGTTTCCCCCTCATTCCCATTGTAACCGCGACTCCCCGTTCTCGTAACGGGCGCTTCTCCGCACGCCACGTGCGCACCGCCTGGATGACGTGGACGGAACACATCGGCGGGGCATGCCACGTGGAGTGACGTGCGCAGCACGCGGTGCGCCCCGCGGCCTTCGAGGCTCCGCGCGGCGACCCGCGCTGCGCAAGGCGCGGAGGGGAGGCGGATGGGATGCGGAAGCACGAGCGGCAGGAGGGAGAGGAGCAAGAAAAGGAGCACAAATCGCGGGGCCATGGCGAACACGGAAGAGACTATGGAGCGATACTTGTAATGGAGCGATATTCGACTAATATAATTGATCCGCAGTGCTTCGTGGCGCCGTTCTCCCGCCGAGAACGCGTGTCCCGAAGCGCTGCGACGCGGCACGAATGTTTCCAATAGGCTAGCATACTAAGCCCAGCACTGACATACTACTGAACCCGTCCGAGTTTCCGTCAGGAAAATTAGCTCACTGAATGCACATATATGGCTACATAAATGTGATTAGGGCGGGTCCAGCGCGTACGTTTTCCGTACATTACAGGTCATTCAGTGCGGTAATTTGTATTGCGTCACGCTTCATAACGGTGAAATTTCAGAACCGCTGTGCACCATCTAATATCTTTTCAAACCACGACGAATAAACTGTATAGTACCTGTAAACGTACGCGCTGGACCCGCCCTTAGAACTTGGAAGCACTATCATTGGGAAGGCAGCATTCTGCTTTGTGGGACAAACGCCATATGTCAATGGTCTGATGATAATGTGTGCTAGCAGTGGGTAACTTCAGGTTTAGATCGTTTCCATTCGGTTCCGACCCCAATGCAGGGATGAGCAAAAGCTTGTCGTGGGGTTGGTGGAGTTCAGCGCGGTGGTGACAGGTACAGTGTTGACGGAAGCTATGAACATTGTTGATGTGGCAAGCGATACCGATTCGGAAGACATATAAGCCGCAATGCACCACACTGATTCTTCTACTTATGAAGCGCATCGAAATTACGTACCATCCCTTCGGGGTCGATCTAGCACGAATCGCGGACAGCTGACTTGTACATAAACGGATAGCGGCTACCTCTGCTGCTGACCTATTCACTACTGTCGCCGCTTTTCCCTCTGCTCGCTATTGTCCCGTCGCACACCTTGCCGCACACCTCGTCGCACACCTCGCCGCACATTTCGCAGCACGTCACACCGCACATCGCGCCATGTTGTTCCACGCGGCGGGCGCGGAGGGCAGTCGGCCGACGTTCTTCGAGATGGCGGCGGCGGACTTCCTCCCCGCCTCGCTAAAAGCCGCCGCGCTATACGCCCTCGGGGTGCGTGCTACATTACACGGCCATGTCTGCTGATCCCACTTGGGGCAAAAAAAGGGGGAAGGGAGGGGGGGGTTACGTAAAAAACTGCCACGTTATCTTATGCTATTTGGGGGGTTGGGGAAGAGGGGAAGAGGCGGAGCCGGGGAAGCAGACAAGGGGGAGCGGAGGGGGCGGAGGGAGGGAGAGTGGGAGGGAGGGGGAGAGTCAGCAGCACTCAGAGGGTAAGCTGACTCATGACCAGCTTATTATGGCGTATCGCCCTCTTATCCCCCCCCTGCTCTTATCACCACCGCTGCTGCACCATCACCCATGAGCGTGCTGCGATGAGCCTCAATGCACACTCCCGCTTCCCTTCCCCTTCCCCCAACACCCCCTCCCCCCTCCTCCACCCCTCCACTCCCCGCCTGGCAGGTGTTGGCACAGCACCGTCCCTCGCTGCACCGCCTGCTGGACCACAGCGACGAGCTCTCTGCTGCTGCGCTGCTGCTGCTGGAGTGGCACTCGCTCAAAACACATGGTACTGCACTCTGCACTCGTTATTAGCTCTTGTTGTGGCCAGGACAGTCTTCCTCTCTGCCTCCCTTAAGTATTACTACCGCCACATTACACCTCTCCCAACTCCCCTCCCCCCATGTTCCTGCGGCCCGCCCTTGAGCCTTTCCATGCCATTCCGTCGCCGTCGTCATCATCGCTTCCCTTCCCTCCAACTCAACCCTCCCTCACTGCTCTCATCTCATCCCCCCCAGGCGCCTCCTTTGGTGAGTCCATGTACGGCCTTCGCCGCATCTCCACCGTTCCCCACCGCCCTTCACCCAGCCAAGCAGCACTACGAACAGGGGCCACAGCAGGGGGAGCAGCAGGAGGGGCGGAGGGGGCAGGCAGAGGAGAGAGGGCGGCAGGGGGACAGGAGGGCGGGTCAGCATCATACGGCATGTCTCGCAAGCAGCGGGCGCTGTCTCTTCTCTTTCTGGTCAGTTTAAGGTTAGGGTTGGGATTCAGGGCTGGGGTTCAGGGCTGGGGTTCAGGGCTGGGGTTCAGGGCTGGGGTTCAGGGCTGGGGTTCAGGGCTGGGGTTCAGGGCTGGGGTTCAGGGCTGGGGTTCAGGGCTGGGGTTCAGGGTTAGGGTTCAGGGTTGGGTTATTTTATTTGTGATTTCTGGCTGAGGGTGCTACCACCCTTTCATCTCTTCACTACACCCCATACCCTCTACCACATACCAGGTTCTCCTGCCCTACCTGCGCGCCAAGCTGCATGCTCTGTTTGCTATAAGCTGTAGCCCTACCACCACCCTTTCATCTCTCCACTATAACCCATACCCTCTACCACATACCAGGTTCTCCTGCCCTACCTGCGCGCCAAGCTGCATCCTGTACCCATCCTTACCCATTCGTCTCTCCACCACACCAAATCCCTTTTACTGCACGGCAGGTGCTGCTGCCCTACCTGCGCGCCAAGCTGCATGCTCTGTTTGCTGTTCGCTAGAGGCAGAGGCAGGCCCGCTCTTTAAGTCGACTCAAAACACACCCTACCCTTTACCACATACCAGGTGCTGCTGCCCTACCTGCGCGCCAAGCTGCATGCTCTGTTTGCTGTTCGCTAGAGGCAGAGGCAGGCCCGCTCTTTAAGTCAACTCAAAACACACCCTAACCTTTACCACATACCACATTGTCGGAGAACCACCTCATCCTTGCAACCTGCTCTTCCTCTTGTCACTCCCTTGCCTTCCTTCTCCTTACGTGGTTGATCAGCCTCAGCCACTATGAAAGAGTTTCCTCCCTCACCCCGTAGGTCCTCCCATAGTGGAGTGCCACCGGATGCTAGATCTGAGGTAACAACTTTCCACTAATATGAGAGAATAACAGGAGAAAAGCAACGAGAGGGTGTTTGGTACTGAATTTACCTGAACCTGGCTCAGTCGCACACTTCTCGATGTGCGCCTCGAGCCAGGCCCAGTTGCTTCAGATTGGTTCGTTAGATTCCCACCCCTCGATGTTTCCTCTAACCCTTCCCAACAACTTCGCCTCAACCCCCCATACTCCCCAGCAACTCACCCACAAATTGTAATCATACAAAGACTACACCTGAACCTACACTTGCATCTACACCCGCGCACCAACTGTTATCGCATATGCACGAAGTGCATATTCGGTGACAGCTGTTGGAGAACCACCTCATCCTTGCAACCTGCTCTTCCTCTTGTCACTCCCTTGCCTTCCTTCTCCTTATGTGGTTGATCAGCCTCAGCCACCACCTGCCCCCTCCTGTGCCCGTGCTCGGGCTGCCTGAGCTCGGGTCACAGGACCATGCTGCTGAGGCCTTGTTCCTTTGACTCCTGCCGTGTTGCTCTGATGTGCCTTCACCGGTACTTCTTTCTCATTCTCCAGCACCAGCACCCCAGATTCACGCACCTCTTTTACTCTCCACTACCCTGCTTCACAACTTTCCACCCACCCGTTCACTTGCCTGGGCATTCTCTCCCACCACCATTCCCTGTTTAACAGCTGCACCATTCTCTCGTGGTCGAGTTGCCCCTGCTTGGTGTGCACTTCTTTGATTACTGGTTTCCTCTCGCCTGGTGCGGGTATCACCCTCCATCTCTCCGTCGGCTGCATCTGCAGCTCCTGTTGATACCACCTGCAGTGGTGCCCCCCCCTCACTCTCGCTCTCTCTGTCACTGCCTCCTCTTCTTCCGTTTCCCCCATCAGCCACTTCATGGCCCGCTCATTCTCCGAGATGTTTGCTGATTTCTTACTCCCCTTAACCTCATTCAGCACCACCTGCTTAGTCAGCAGCTCCCTAAATTTACCCTTGCATATCTCCTTATCCTCCGGCGGCCTTTTCCCCCTCCCGTATAACACCAGTTTGCAGCTGCTCAGCTTTAGCTCCCACTGCTTTACCGGGCCCTTACGCCCCTCGGCAAAGCGCCTCCAGTGTTTCGCTAGCATTGCCAACATCACCTTCTTCCCTTCTTCGCTCACTGTCTCTCCCCCCTTCCACTCTGGATTCTCCCCTTCCATGCGGGCCCAGGCTCCTTGTGGGACTGCGGCTGCCTCTGCTTTTCCTCCCACCTGCTCGTCCCGTTCCTCCGCTCCAGTTGCTGCTGTAACACCCGCTTCTACCCCCACCTGCTCGTCCCGTTCCTCCGCTCCAGTTGCTGCTGATACACCCACTTCTGCCCCCACCTGCTCGTCCCGTTCCTCCGCTCCAGTTGCTGCTGATACACCCGCTTCTGCCCCCACCTGCTCGTCCCGTTCCTCCGCTCCAGTTGCTGTTGATACACCCGCTTCTGCCCCCACCTGCTCGTCCTTCTCTTCCGCTTTTGCTACTGCTGATGAGCACGCCTGTGCCCCCACCGCTTTTGCTACTGCTGATGAGCACGCCTGTGCCCCCACCGCTTTTGCTACTGCTGATGAGCACGCCTGTGCCCCCACCGCTTTTGCTACTGCTGATGAGCACGCCTGTGCCCCCACCGCTTTTGCTACTGCTGATGTGCACGCCTGTGCCCCCACCGCTTTTGCTACTGCTGATGTGCACGCCTGTGCCCCCACCGCTTTTGCTACTGCTGATGTGCACGCCTGTGCCCCCACCGCTTTTGCTACTGCTGATGTGCACGCCTGTGCCCCCACCGCTTTTGCTACTGCTGATGTGCACGCCTGTGCCCCCACCGCTTTTGCTACTGCTGATGTGCACGCCTGTGCCCCCACCGCTTTTGCTACTGCTGATGTGCACGCCTGTGCCCCCACCGCTTTTGCTACTGCTGATGTGCACGCCTGTGCCCCCACCGCTTTTGCTACTGCTGATGTGCACGCCTGTGCCCCCACCGCTTTTGCTACTGCTGATGTGCACGCCTGTGCCCCCACCGCTTTTGCTACTGCTGATGTGCACGCCTGTGCCCCCACCGCTTTTGCTACTGCTGATGTGCACGCCTGTGCCCCCACCGCTTTTGCTACTGCTGATGTGCACGCCTGTGCCCCCACCGCTTTTGCTACTGCTGATGTGCACGCCTGTGCCCCCACCGCTTTTGCTACTGCTGATGTGCACGCCTGTGCCCCCACCGCTTTTGCTACTGCTGATGTGCACGCCTGTGCCCCCACCGCTTTTGCTACTGCTGATGTGCACGCCTGTGCCCCCACCGCTTTTGCTACTGCTGATGTGCACGCCTGTGCCCCCACCGCTTTTGCTACTGCTGATGAGCACGCCTGTGCCCCCACCGCTTTTGCTACTGCTGATGAGCACGCCTGTGCCCCCACCGCTTTTGCTACTGCTGATGTGCACGCCTGTGCCCCCACCGCTTTTGCTACTGCTGATGTGCACGCCTGTGCCCCCACCGCTTTTGCTACTGCTGATGTGCACGCCTGTGCCCCCACCGCTTTTGCTACTGCTGATGTGCACGCCTGTGCCCCCACCGCTTTTGCTACTGCTGATGTGCACGCCTGTGCCCCCACCGCTTTTGCTACTGCTGATGTGCACGCCTGTGCCCCCACCGCTTTTGCTACTGCTGATGTGCACGCCTGTGCCCCCACCGCTTTTGCTACTGCTGATGTGCACGCCTGTGCCCCCACCGCTTTTGCTACTGCTGATGTGCACGCCTGTGCCCCCACCGCTTTTGCTACTGCTGATGTGCACGCCTGTGCCCCCACCGCTTTTGCTACTGCTGATGTGCACGCCTGTGCCCCCACCGCTTTTGCTACTGCTGATGTGCACGCCTGTGCCCCCACCGCTTTTGCTACTGCTGATGTGCACGCCTGTGCCCCCACCGCTTTTGCTACTGCTGATGTGCACGCCTGTGCCCCCACCGCTTTTGCTACTGCTGATGTGCACGCCTGTGCCCCCACCGCTTTTGCTACTGCTGATGTGCACGCCTGTGCCCCCACCGCTTTTGCTACTGCTGATGTGCACGCCTGTGCCCCCACCGCTTTTGCTACTGCTGATGTGCACGCCTGTGCCCCCACCGCTTTTGCTACTGCTGATGTGCACGCCTGTGCCCCCACCGCTTTTGCTACTGCTGATGTGCACGCCTGTGCCCCCACCGCTTTTGCTACTGCTGATGTGCACGCCTGTGCCCCCACCTTCCCGTCCTTCCCTTCCGCTTTTGCTACTGCTGATGTGCACACCTGTGCCCCCACCTTCCCGTCCTTCTCTTCAACTTTTGCTACTGCTGATGTGCACGCCTGTGCCCCCACCTTCTCGTTCTCCCCTTCCGCTTCTGCCGCTGCTGGTACGCACGCCTGTGCTCTCACCTTCTCACACCTCCCTTCCGCTTCTGCTACTTCTGGTGTGCACGCCTGTGCCCCTTGTTTCTTCCCTGGTGATAGAGTTAGTTCAGTCGGAGCATGAGTGCTTGCCATCCACTCAAGTTCCCCCGTTCCTGCCGTCATCACAACTATCCCCTTTGCTATCTGCTTCTCTGGTGCCATCAGCCCCTGTTCTTCTGCCATGACCTTCCCTAACATCCTGCTCCATGCTCCAGTGTCTGTGATCACCGTCTTGACCTTCTCCCCCTCCATTGCCGTCGCCTCATTTCTCACCATCAGTTCTGAGGTCTGGCTTACCCGCCCGTCCCGCGAGTGGCGAGCTACAACGTCCCTTGGTGTCGTCTCCTCTGCCTGCTGCCCCTTCTCTCCTCCCTTTTGTCGGTGCTCCTGCAGGTCGTCCTTCCCTCCACTCCGTAGTCCCATCTCTTCCCTTCCCTTCCATGCCACGTACGCGCGCTGCACCTCCTGCTCTACTTCCCTGTCATCCTCATCCCTGGCGCTCGTTCCTGCCTCTGCTTCCCGCCTTTGTCTGAGTGCCTGCAGCTGTGCCTGTAGCCTGCTGAGCTCATGTTCCAGCTCTTCCGGGTTCCCCTTTGCTGTCCCCTCCCGCTGGTAGCAGTCCTTCGCTTCACGTCCCTTCTTGCTGGAAATTTCACACCACGATGCATCTGGGCACTCTCTCCTCAAGTATCCTGGCTTCCCACAGCGATCACAGTTCTTGCAATCTCTCCTAACGTGCCCCGACTGTCCGCATCTGTAGCAGGTCCTGTTGTCTGCCCTACCATCCCCTCGTCCCTCTGACCTTCCCTGATATTCAGATACCATTGCTGCTGCCCTTATCGGCCCACGGCTCCTCTCTGTCGTTTGTGGCCGGTACGCTTCAAACTTCCTCTGCGCAAACTCTATTTTCTCTGCCAACTCGAAGACGTCATCCAGCGTTGTGTCTGCCCCCATTTCGTACACCCTCATCCACAATCCGCTTCCCATGGTGCTGTCGAGTCCATCCAGGAACTTGCTAACAAGAAGGCCCATGTCTGCACATGTTACATCCTCCGCCAGGTTGATCAGCCGGTTGTAGTAGGTAAGCAACGACTCGCTCCACCCCTTCCTGAAATTCTGAAATTCTCTTATCTTCTCCGCGGTGTGCCCTGGAAACTGCCGCTGTAACTGCTTCAGAAATGCTTCCGTGGGGTCTTCCCCGTACCTTCCTGCCCTCTCTAGCAACTCATCCATCTTCATTCTGTACAGCGTTTCCGCCTCCCCTTCCAGTGTGTTCGGCAGACTCAGAAAAAAATCCACCGAGTCCATACCACTCCTCTCGCACCTGTATCTCACATTCCCTACTTGCATTAAGTAGTTCTTGAGTGAGGGCCCTGTGCGCTGATCTCCCGCGAATCGCGCCGGCACTTCCACTTGCTCAAACATCGCCGTGCTCCCCCGACCGTCTCCCCATGATTTACTCAGTCCTCTCGCCTGCCTTCCTGATGACTCCCTCTCCCTTGCCCTCTTGATTCTTTCCCTTGCCACTCTGGCGCGCTCCGTGCTGTATGCCAGCCCGCCGCCTCCCCCTTCGCGTCCGCGCTGGTCCTGTCCCACCTCCCTTCGCATGTCCTCCGTGTCAGAACTTGAGCTTAGAATCGATACTATAGTAGTGAGCTCAAAGCTCTTTAAGTACATCCGGAATGAGCAAGGTAGGGATGAGGAGGGAATCAGGAGGCAATCCTAGGGAATCAAGGGTAATCCCAAGGCAATCTCCAATTGGTGGGTTGGAGATTGCTTGGAGATTACATTTGGGTTTGGTTGGGATGTGGGTGTACACCCAACCAAACACAAAGTGCAAACTACACTAAACTAGGATATAAAAGTACAAGTACAAAATGTGAGATTGGGGCCTAACACCAACACCCCCCCTGAGGCGTCAATCGAACTCATGGCGGAGAAGGAGGAGCGCAGAGCCCCATGGCGCCAAGGAGACGATGGTGGGGAACCTTCCCAAGGGGCTTGGTGAACAGGTCAGCCAGGTTGCAGTCAGATGCCACGTATTCCACCTTCAGCTGCTCTTGTTGCACAAGGTGACGAATGAAGAAGTGCCGAAGTTCAATATGCTTGGTGCGGGTGTGATACACAGGGTCTTGAGAGATGTGGATGGTACTCTGGTTGTCACACCAGAGGGTGGGGGCTGACTGAGGGAAGCCAAGCTCTTGGAGTAGGAAGGTGAACCAACGGGCCTCCTGAGCAGCCATGGTGCCTGCGTAGAGCTCCGCCTCACAGGAGGAGAGGGAGACTGCAGACGACCTGGTGGAGCGCCAACTGACAGTTCCGCTCCCGAGGGTGAAGCAGTACCCCTGAGAGGAGCGCCGGTCGGTCTGGTCATCAGCCCAGGAGGAGTCTGTGTAACCTTCCAGGCGAGGAGGGGAGAGCCCACCGAGTGTGAGAACGTGGGACTTTGTGCCCTTAAGATAGCGCAGCACCCGCTTTGCTGCCTTCCAATGAAGATTAGTGAAGCGACCCGGGGCCACGTAACGAGAGAGAACACTGACTGGGTAGGCCAAGTCCGGTCGGGTGCACATCATGGCGTACATGAGGGACCCAACAAGTTCCGGGTATGGCTCAGAGCAGGCCTCTGGTGTGGGTACAGCAGGAGCTGTAAGGAGGTGTTGCAGCGGCAGCGGGGTGGCAACAGGTGTGCACAGCTCCATCTCAAACCGCTTGAGCACATTGTCGATGTAGAACTCCTGGGAGAGTGAGATGGTGCGAGCCTTGCGATCACGAGTGATCTCCATTCCCAGGTAGTGCTTGAGGTCACCAAGGTCTTTCATCTGGAGGGCCTTGCTCAGGGCTGCCTGGACAGAGGTCATTTGGGCCGAGTCCTTGGCAACGAGGATAAAATCATCCACGTAGACTAGGATGTAGAATGGCTCAGAATGACGACGGATGAAGAGAGTCGGGTCAGCAGTTGAGGGGTGGAAGTCCAGGGAGAGGAGGACTTCTTTCACCTTGTTGTGCCATTCGCGAGGGGCTTGTTTAAGGCCGTAGACGGGGCGATTCAGCTTCCAGACTGTGTTGGGAGGGAATTCTCCTGGGAAGCCTTCTGGTCTGTCCATGAACACTGTCTCCTTGAGACGTCCTTGTAGGAAAGCGGAGGAGGCATCCATGGATTTGATCTCAAAGTCTTCTCGAGCTGCAACATCCATGAGCGTTCGAATGGTGGGAGGTTTGGATGTGGGGGAGAAGATTAGGTCGAAGTCGCGGTACCGCTGCTGGGTGAAGCCCTTGGCTACGTAACGCGCTTTGAACACCGGTGCCTCGTCTGGGAGCTGTTTTACACGGAACAACCACTTGCCCCCGACGATGTTGACTCCTGGAGGTGGAGTCTCGTCATCGAAAGAGTGGTTGCGAGTGAATGCTGCAATCTCCGCGTCCATGGCAGCACGCCATTCGGCAGCATGAGGGCCTGAGAGAGCCTCTTGGACGGTGAGAGGGATAGGGATGGTCGGGTTCTCCGCGAGGTTGAGGGAGGGTGAGCCAGTGATATCGGGGAAGATGTGTGAGAGCTGAGGAATGACTGCATGGAGATCACACAGCTCCTCATGCCTGTCTTCTAGAAGGGTAGAGGGCACATCCCCCCCAGCAGGAGGAGGCGGTGTGATCATTGTGTATCGAAGAACCATTGCGAGTGGAAGAGCAGCGCGATGGGAGCGGGTGCCATGAGCCACCGGTGAGGAGGGCGGGGCAGGCGGTGTCGGAGAGGGTGACTTAGGAGGCTTGGGTGGGGGAATGGGCCGCCGGCGGTACGTGATCAGCTCGGGCGACTGTGGGAGAGCGGGTTCCTCTGTGGTGGGGGGAACTGGGGGAGGAGGTGGGGCCGGAGGGTGGGACCGCCGATGGTAGGTGATAGGTGCGCTCGGAGGGGGCGGCGCAGCGGGAAGTGAGGAAGGTGAGGGGGGGGGCGGAGCAGCCGCCGAAGACACCGGTGAGGCCGGGTCAGAGACCTCAGAGGGAGATGGTGGGATGGCAGGAGAGGGAGGAGGTGAGGGGGCAGGAGCAGGCGGGAGGTCGGGAGGCGCGTCAAAGTCTGCCCACACGAGGGAGGGTGGATCAGGGAGAGGGTCCCGTCCCGAAGGGGAGTAGAATGGGCGGGTCTCATCAAAGACAACGTCGCGGCTCCTGACCAACTGTTGAGTGGAGGGATTGAGGAAGAGGTAGTCAGGTGAGTCGGCGTTGTGCCCAAGGTAGATGCACGTTTGAGTCTTGGGACCGAGCTTGCCACCGTTCTGGCGTCGAGCCTGAGGGTTGAGGAGGACATAGGCGGTGCATCCCCAAACGCGAAGAGAGCGAGCAGTGGGCGTTTTCCCGAGCCAGAGTGTGGTTGGAGTGGTGTCGGGAAGGTGCGGATGGGGGTAAAGGTTGTAGAGGAGGGCGGCGTGGTAGAGAGCGTATCCCCAGAGAGAGTGTGGAGCGTTGGAGTGGCTGAGGAGGCACCGAGTGATCTGCACTAGAGTGTGGTTGCGGCTCTCAGCTATGCCGTTCTGTTGAGGGCTGTCAGGGAGGGTGAAGTTTTGCTGGATGCCTTCGGAGGAGCAGAAGGCTTTAAGCTTGTCGTTGCAAAATTCACCCCCCCCATCCGAGTGAAGGCGCTTGACCTTGAGGTCAAAGGTGGTCTGTGCCTGCTTGACCCACGCCATGATGACCTCTGGAGCCTCAGCCTTAGTGTGGAGGAGGTGAACAGAGACGTATCGTGAGTGGTCATCCACGATAACTAGGAAGTAGCGATATCCACCTCGTGCAAGAACAGGGGCAGGGCCCCAGACGTCCATGTGCACTAGGTCCAGTGGTGCCGCTGCGATTGTGGGTGAGGCAGTGTGGGGCTGTTGGCGCAGTTTGCTCTTGGTGCAATCAAGGCACGTGGGAGCGGGTGAGTCAGGTGGTGGAGGAAGTGTGGCTGGCAGGCCGAGAAGAAGTTTCTTGGAGGCCATGTCAGCAAGCGTGCGGAAGTTTGGGTGCCCTAACCGATGATGATAGAGGATGGTCGGGTTGGAGAGGCTGCGACATGTGCATGGTGTGATGGGAGCCTGTGCTTGGGTGGTTGAAACCTGTGGGAGAGGAACGCGTAGCGTGTAGAGGCCGCTGCTATTGAGGGTGAAGCGGGCCAAGACCTTGTTGGTGAGTGGGTCAATGATGTCGCAGTGGTCCTCATTCTCCGAGAAGATGGTGCGTAGCCCTGCTTTCTGAATTTCTGTTTGAGCCACTAGATTGTGGCGTAGTGAAGGCACGCACATGCCAGTGACGGTGCCGGAAGGGAAGGCTGGGCATGGGACTGTGGAGGTGCCCTTGGCTAGGGTGGTGAAGCTGGAGTCAGCTCCCAAGAGAGGGATAGGTGCTGGATAGGGTTTGAAGGAGAGTGTCTCCTTGAGCACAGTGTGAGTGGCCCCACTGTCGAGTGTGAACTCTATGTACTGTGGTGCCTGTGATGAGTCGATGTACTGGGAAGTGGCTTCATTAATCATGGCAGTGCCAGGAAACAACAGGTTGATACGCACATCAACAGGAGCACTGTCACTAGCACTAGCCGAAGAGGGGTCCTGGACCTCAACGAGATTGGCCTTACGAGCGCGCATCCAGTTTGGCGGCTTCTTGTCAACCCCGTGGATGGCATACCACTCGTCGTCTTTCTTCTTGAAGCACGTGGCAAGGGGGTGGTTAGTGCCACCACACACTTGTCCCTTGCGGTTGCCATACTTGACGACGTAGGTGCACGGAGGAAAGCGGTTGCGCTGGAAAGGCGCCGAGGCAAGGGCTGCTGCAACACTTGCTAGGGGCATGGGAGCACGGATGGCGTATGCCTTGGCCTGAGCAGTGGAGTCTTTCTCGGCAGAGAGGAGTGCGGTGGAGACCTTAGCAAAGGTGAGGTCTTCCGCTGAGAGCGTGAGGAGCATCTTCCTCGTCACTTCATATGCCGAGGAGAGACCAACAAGAAGGGCAGCTGCAGGGGCTTGTTCGGGGAAGACTATACCCAGCTCCTTGAGTTCACCATGAATGGTCTGCACCTTGGCGATGTAATCAGCCATTCCTGAGCAGTCCTCAAGGCGGACTTGAAACATGCTGGGGATGAGAATCGCCACTCCGACCGCCGTCTTGTTCATGAACCGATCCTGGAGATACTTCCAGATGGCGTTGGAGGTAGGGTAGTTGTGGAACGTGTTGACAAGTTCGGGAGGGGTGGAGGCAATGAAGACGCTGATGATGGCAGCATCGGCCTTCTCCCACTTCCGGTACTTCTCAACAGCTTCTTCGTACGTCATCACGTCAGCATCACTTGAAGATTCGGTCGGTTCACGGGGAAGAGTGGGCTGTTTCCCCTTGCCACGGTTGAGGAGGACGTCCTTGAGGTCAAGGCCCTGCACGTCACGGCTCAGGAGGTGCTTGTCAACTCCGTAGCTCCACGCCTTGAAGTTGGAGCTAGAGCCATCGGCTTCAAGGCGGAGCGGGGTGATGGGGTTCGCCATGGTGGAAGACGAGAAAGCCATGGTGGAGACCCCTTAACTTCTCGCGCGGAGCGCCGCTCTTAAGTCACCAATAGGAACTTGAGGTTTGGGGTTTCCAAAGGAGATTTCGAAGAACCGGAGGTTTAGGGTTTACGAAGGAGAATTTGACTGAGACGCCAATTTAGTGTCAACTACCTACTAGTCCTATTCCCACACACCCCCCCACACACCACCCTCAGCTTCGCGGCTACGCTGCTGCTCGGCTGCGTTGCTGCACCTGTTCAGCTGCGGGAAAGAGGGGGGATGGGGGTAGGAGTGCAGATGCGGGGCGACGGGCGGCAGCCCGAAGATGACGCTGCGGGGCGACGGGCGGCGGCCCGACGAGAAGCTGCAGGGCGACGGGCGGCAGCCCGTCGAGGAGAAGAAGTGACGAATTGATGAAAACGAGTGTTAGGTTAGAGCGCCGACGATGCGCTTACCAGAGAAGTTTCCGTCGATGGTGACGGGAAGATTTGGCGGGAGAAATTCCGCCGATGAATGTCGCGAATCAACGGCGACGAGATTGGCGATGGCTTCCCCGAGGTTTGCGGGACAAGTATCCGCAGAGATGAGAGGATCACGATCCGCGTATGCGGTTGAGCTGCTCTGATTACCATGTCAGAACTTGAGCTTAGAATCGATACTATAGTAGTGAGCTCAAAGCTCTTTAAGTACATCCGGAATGAGCAAGGTAGGGATGAGGAGGGAATCAGGAGGCAATCCTAGGGAATCAAGGGTAATCCCAAGGCAATCTCCAATTGGTGGGTTGGAGATTGCTTGGAGATTACATTTGGGTTTGGTTGGGATGTGGGTGTACACCCAACCAAACACAAAGTGCAAACTACACTAAACTAGGATATAAAAGTACAAGTACAAAATGTGAGATTGGGGCCTAACACCAACACTCCGCACTCATCCGTGCTCCTGCTCGCCCCGACTGCCTCTCTGGCGAGTAATGCGCCCTCGCCCAGCCTTCTCTATGCGTTCCTCGCTGCCAGTGCCTCTCGGGCGAAGGGGATCTCTCGTCCCTTCTCCCTCCGTGCCCGCGGCGACTGTCTTGCAGATGCCACTCCTCCTCCCATCTCCCTCCCTGCTTGCGCTGCAGACCTGGCGAACGTGTCTCACCCCTTGCCCTTCCCGCGTAGTGCCGCCACGGATCAGGTGAGCCAGACCCGCCAGTCTGTCGTCTATCATGTTGCCCATGCCGATCAGGCGAGCGCGACCCGCCCCCCTGCCTCCCATCATGGTGCTGACGCACCTCAGGCGAGCGCAACCCTCCGTTCCGCCCTCCTCCGCGCTGCCAACGCGGATCAGGTGAGAACTCGTCCTCGCGCACTTCCTGTTGCTCCTCCGCCCGCCCCCGCTGCTGCTCTGATGAGTGATTCACCTTCTCACGCCTCTCCTGCTTCCTGCGTCGGCGCCGCTCCAGATTATACCCATATTCCTCCTCTTCACTATACTCATGTTCCTTCGCTTCACACAGCTCCTCATCACTCCTTTTCGTCTTCTCCCTCCCTTCCTTACCCTCAGGGGAATCTTCTTGACACCGCCTCCCTCATCCGCCTGCTCCTCGGCGCCCATGATATTCTCTTACCCTTCCCTTGGCACTTTCCGAGTCCTTCCTTGGGGACACATCTCGCTGGCAGCGCTCTTCCTCATCCCTCCTCCTGTGTCTCTCTCTCTCTTGTCTCCCCCTTGCCTCTCCGTCAGGCTCCAGCACCAACCCTGCTCCTGCGCACGGGTACTCTTTCATTCCTTTACGGCGTGCTCTCGCATCCGCCCCCGCGATGTACTGCGACAAACACTCACTCCCCTTAACACGCGCTTCCCCCTCCTCCTGCCGCTGCCGTGCAGGCGAGCGCTGCGCGTGCCCCCTACCGCGGTCGTTCCCCCTTTCCTCTCGCCGCAGCTCTGGTGATCGCCCTCCACCTAACGCCAGGCGCCTCCTGCGCTCGTGTCCGCGTCTTGGTTCAGGCGAGCCATACATACCCGCCTGCGCGTTTCGCCTCCTCATTTCCTCACGGCTGGCTTCTGGCGCGCGCTCAGCCTCCTTGTCTTCGCCGCGCCTTGCGTTACTTCCGCGCATCCTGCCTGGCGAGCGATTTGCATCCGTGCTCCCCCGGCGCCCCGCGCAATTCTCAAGCATTTAGCCCACCGACCCGTCTGCATCCGCGCTACCGCGGCGCCTCACGCCATCCCTGCGCATTTCGCCCGTCGAATCGTCTGAATCCGCGCTCCCGCGGCGCCTTACGCTGCCGTCACCCATTTCGTCCGCCGCGCGACCTGAATCCGCGCTTCCATGGCGCCTTACGCTGCCGTCACCCATTTCGTCCGCCACACGACCTGAATCCGCGCTTCCCTGGCGCCTTACGCTGCCGTCACCCATTTCGTCCGCCGCGCGACCTGAATCCGCGCTCCCCTGGCGCCTTACGCTGCCGTCACCCATTTCGTCCGCCGCGCGACCTGAATCCGCGCTTCCCTGGCGCCTTACGCTGCCGTCACCCATTTCGTCCGCCGCGCGACCTGAATCCGTGCTTCCCTGGCGCCTTACGCTGCCGTCACCCATTTCGTCCGCCGCGCGACCTGAATCCGCGCTTCCCTGGCGCCTTACGCTGCCGTCACCCATTTTTTATTCGCCGCGCGACCTGAATCCGCGCTTCCCTGGCGCCTTACGCGGCCGTCACCCATTTCGTCCGCCGCACGACCTGAATCCGCGCTTCCATGGCGCCTTACGCTGCCGTCACCCATTTCGTCCGCAGCGCGACCTGAATCCGCACTCCCCTGGCGCCTTACGCTGCCGTCACCCATTTCGTCCGCCGCGCGACCTGCATCCGCGCTTCCGCGGCGCCTTGCGCTGCCTCCACGCATCCCTTCCGGCGAGCCACTTGCTCCCGCGTCCTTGCTCCCGTCGTCGCGCTCTTCTTCCGCGCCTTTTTCCTCTTCACCATCCCGCACCATCGGGATCTGGTGTGTTTCCTCGCCGTCGGCCTCGTTTGCCGAATCCGACGAGTCCACCACGTCCGCGTCGTCGCGACGCCTTACACCCTCTCCTTGCTGGCCGCGTGCCAGATTCCAAGGGTCACCGCTGGACGGTTGAGGCCTGGGCTCCGATCCCGCGTGCAGATCGTCCTCGCCTCCATCTCGACGCCCTTCAACGTGCAGATCTGCGCGGTCCGCCGCCCTCCTTGGCGACCACTCCCGCGATCTTCCTCGCTCCTGCGAGCGCGTCCTCCGCGACGGCGGCGTTTCCCGACGCGAGTACATCTGCTGCCAGCGCAGCTCGTGGCAGTCCGTACTGCCCAAACGTTCTCTCGGCTTTTCTCCTGTTATGAAAGAGTTTCCTCCCTCACCCCGTAGGTCCTCCCATAGTGGAGTGCCACCGGATGCTAGATCTGAGGTAACAACTTTCCACTAATATGAGAGAATAACAGGAGAAAAGCAACGAGAGGGTGTTTGGTACTGAATTTACCTGAACCTGGCTCAGTCGCACACTTCTCGATGTGCGCCTCGAGCCAGGCCCAGTTGCTTCAGATTGGTTCGTTAGATTCCCACCCCTCGATGTTTCCTCTAACCCTTCCCAACAACTTCGCCTCAACCCCCCATACTCCCCAGCAACTCACCCACAAATTGTAATCATACAAAGACTACACCTGAACCTACACTTGCATCTACACCCGCGCACCAACTGTTATCGCATATGCACGAAGTGCATATTCGGTGACACATACCAGGTGCTGCTGCCCTACCTGCGCGCCAAGCTGCATGCTCTGTTTGCTGTTCGCTAGAGGCAGAGGCAGGCCCGCTCTTTAAGTCGACTCAAAACACACCCTACCCTTTGCCACATACCACATACCAGGTGCTGCTGCCCTACCTGCGCGCCAAGCTGCATGCTCTGTTTGCTGTTCGCTAGAGGCAGAGGCAGGCCCGCTCTTTAAGTCGACTCAAAACACACCCTACCCTTTACCACATACCACATACCAGGTGCTGCTGCCCTACCTGCGCGCCAAGCTGCATGCTCTGTTTGCTGTTCGCTAGAGGCAGAGGCAGGCCCGCTCTTTAAGTCTACTCAACTACACCCCATACCCTCTACCACACGCCAGGTGCTGCTGCCCTACCTGCGGACGAAGCTGCACTCTCTGTTTGCTGCCCGCCAAAGGCAGAGGCAGGCCCGCGCACTGTGGGTGGGGGAGGAAGATGGGGGGGACGATGGGTGGGGGGGAACGGGGGAGGAGTGGGGGCGGGGGAGGGATGGGGGAAATAATGCTGGTCTGGGGCAAGGGGATGGGGATGGGGATGGGTATGGGGATGGGTATGGTGGGGCTATGGGAGGTGAAGAGCGCAGTGAGAGTGGCAGCAGCCCTGGGAGCATGGGCTCTGTTGGTTCCCTGCGTGGGCACGAACAGCTAGATGATGGGCTGGGGACTGATGGATTGAGGGACGAAACGCCAGGGGGTGAGGGTGTGGCAGCGGCCGCAGCAAGAGTTACCGACGGGCGTGCGGAGGGAGGAGCAGGAGAGGAGGAGGCGGATGGGCAAAGGGGGCAGGTGGTGACAGGAGGGGCCACTGCTGGCAATTCAGATGCCAGAGGCAATGGGGGAAGGAGGAGCAGTGCGATTGGCAGCAGCAGGAGCAGTGCGAGGGGCAGCAGGAGGTGGCGACAGGTGCTGCGAGTGCTGCGGTGGTTGCAGCGACGGGCCGTGAGAGGGGCCGCTGCTGCGTACCCCTGGGTGCAAGCACCGTATGAAGGTGAGCTCGTCTGTGTGGGAAATTGAGCTCGTCTGTGTGGGAAATTGAGCTCGTCTGTGTGGGAAATTGAGCTCGTCTGTGTGGGAAATTGAGCTCGTCTGTGTGGGAAATTGAGCTCGTCTGTGTGGGAAATTGAGCTCGTCTGTGTGGGACATTGAGCCGGTGTGTTTTGGAGAAGGCCAGAGCTCACACCTTAAAGCAGACTCTGTCGCCGAGCTGCCGAGCTGAGAGGTGCTGCTGCAGCGTACCTCTGGGGTAGTGAACATGTGGACTGGTGTTGCTCCCCTCTCCCCTTCCTTCCCCACCACGACTGTATCTGCTGTACTGCTGCTCTACGTCATGGATGCCACACCTCAGCACCAACCTTTGTAACCTCTTTTCCTTATTCCAGATTTTCCCATCCCCTCCTTCTCCTCCCCCCACCCACCAGGCGTGTGTCTGCTGTACCAACTCCAACTTCTCTACGTGATGGATGCCATGCCTCACTACTCTCCGTTGTAATCTGTGCCCTGTTCCTTCCCTTTCCCCCCACGTCCCACCCCTTCCCCCCCACCACCAGGCGTGTGTCTGCTGTACCAGCTGCTCTACGTCATGGTCGCTGCGCCGCACTACCAACTTATGCAAGCTTTGTGTCTTACTCCTTCCCTCCCTCACCCCACCCCTCTACACACACCAGGCGTGTGTCTGCTTTACCAGCTGCTCTACGTCATGGACGCCACGCCGCACTACTCGCCCATCCTGCACCTCCTCTCCCTCTCGCTGCGCCGAGCCACTCCACAGGAGCTGGTGAGGCGGCATGCACTCTCACAACGCGAGGTACCTTATGGTTTTCACATATCAATGGGATTTGTTGTTTTCCTAGGTCTTATGTGTGAAAATACTGGGCTTGTGAATTGATTTGCTATGCCTGTTTATGTGGTACGCGCACATGGCGGTATGGGCAAGGGACTATCTACACCTGGCTGTGCGCTCATTTGACTGTGCACATGTGGCTGTACGTGCATGTGACTAAGCAACTGTGACTGTAAGAGCACGTGAGTCGTCATCTCAAGGCATACTCCCTCCCTACTCCCAGGCAGAAGGCTCTTCCTCTGTCTCTGCCTCTCTTTCTCTTGTTGCCTCTCCCTCTCTGTCCACCCGTGAACAGTGTGCGTGAAACATAGCACTTTCACTTCCTGCCTTTTCCTGCCACTTCCTGCTGTGCAGACGGAAGGCTCCAGCAGAGAAATCCCCTGCCGTGTAGAATGCTTCAGGATCCTCAAACCCAGCATGCCCCCATCCCATCCCTGCCGTGTAGGCAGATGCATGCATCTTCTTCTTTCCCATCCCTGGCGTCGGCAAGTGCCTCAGACCCATCGCCCCTCCCCTCCCACCGTGCAGGCCGAGGCATCTTCCTCCATCTCCACCCACCGTCAGCGAGAGTTCGAGCGCCTCCCAGGCTCACCCGCAATAAGGGTGAGATGTTGGGGTTAATAGCCACAATGTGGGTGCTATTAGGGTTATAGCCTGGAATAGTGGTCATATATTGGGGTCGAGATGCAGTACAAGTTAGGTATTCGATCTTCTATCCTCCAATACAAGTGTGTGGACAGGGTAAGATCCTACAAGTGAAGGCCATTCACACGCATTGTGGGCCTCCGTTCTCCTCACCTCACTCCCCAATCGCTTGTTATCCTCCCCAATCGCTTGTTATCCTCCCCAATCGCTTGTTATCCTCCCCAATCGCTTGTTATCCTCCCCAATCGCTTGTTATCCTCCCCAATCGCTTGTTATGCTCGCTTCGTTTCCTCCGTCCAGGCTGTGCAAGCAGCGCTTGTAAAAGCCGTCTACTTTTCCATGGACCATGCCCAGAGTCTCGGCCCAATCCCTCTCTCACCACTGCTGCTGCTGCTGCTGCTGCTGCTGCTGTTGCTGCTGCTGTTTGACTTGTCACCGCTTCCCCTCTCCCAACCTGTCCCTCGCCCCCACTCCCATCCAAACCAGGCCGTGCAAGCAGCGCTCCTGAAAGCCCTCTACTTCACCATGGACTATGCCCAGACGTCTGTCATCGCTGCGGTCTTTGCCTTCAAGGTACGCCCACTTCAAGAAAGAAGAAGAAAATCACTTCCTTAGAAAGCAAATTCCTCCTCTTCGTTCCAGCTTCTAGTAATTGCGGTTGGCTGCACATCCTAGTAATCGCGGTTGGCTGCACATCCTAGTAATCGCGGTTGGCTGCACATCCTAGTAATCGCGGTTGGCTGCACATCCTAGTAATCGTGGTTGGCTGCACATCCTAGTAATCGCGGTTGGCTGCACATCCTAGTAATCGCGGTTGGCTGCACATCCTAGTAATCGCGGTTGGCTGCACATCCTAGTAATCGCGGTTGGCTGCACATCCTAGTAATCGCGGTTGGCTGCACATCCTAGTAATCGCGGTTGGCTGCACATCCTAGTAATCGCGAACGTCTCTTCAGAACTCCAATTGCTCATTGATCAATGTAACCCTCAGGAGCATTGTTATGTGGCTTGCAGCTCTTTTCTTGCCATGCCCCATGAGATGGCAAAGCGCTGCCAACGGGCAGTTTGGTTGATTATACGGCACCTGACGAGTTTAGTATACACCTAACGAAGGGGTGTGTGGTGGGTGACGTTTGAGTCGACTCAATAGTCACCTTGTGTGGTGGGTGGATACCACCGACTGGCGTTCCCCGACTAGATGCCTCACAGACTCCAGCTCGTCTTGCCGCTACACCTTAGAGTATCCCTGCTAACAGCTCTCTGCCTTACATGCTTGCTTGCGGGCTTCTGTTTGCTCACAACCCCACCAGATGGCCGAGTGGTGGTACCAGACAGGCAAGCAGAAGCTGAGTGCGTTTGGCTGCCATGTTGTCTGATATCCCTGCTGACCACACTCTGCCCTGCCCTGCCCTGCCCTGCCCTGCCCTGCCCTGCCCTGCCCTGCCCTGCCCTGCCCTGCCCTGCCCTGCCCTGCCCTGCCCTGCCCTGCCCTGCCCTGCCCTGCCCTGCCCTGCCCTGGCCTGGCCTGGCCTGGCCTGGCCTGGCCTGGCCTGCCCTGCCCTGCCCTGCCCTGCCCTGGCCTGCCCTGCCCTGCCCTGCCCTGCCCTGGCCTGCCCTGCCCTGCCCTGCCCTGCCCTGGCCTGCCCTGCCCTGGCCTGCCCTGCCCTGCCCTGCCCTGCCCTGCCCTGCCCTGCCCTGCCCTGCCCTGCCCTGCCCTGCCCTGCCCTGCCCTGCCTGCTTCCCTTCCACTCGTTCACCCCCACTCATCCGCCATCAGATGGCTGAGTGGTGGTGCACTGATTCCCCCGTGCCCCCACCCTTAGAGATGTTTCCACTTATCGGTCCCCATTCCCCCATCAGATGGCTGAGTGGTGGTGCACTCATTCACCATCCCCCATCAGATGGCTGAGTGGTGGTGCACTCATTCACCATCCCCCATCAGATGGCTGAGTGGTGGTGCACTCATTCACCATCACCCATCAGATGGCTGAGTGGTGGTGCACTCATTCACCATCCCCCATCAGATGGCTGAGTGGTGGTGCACTCATTCACCATCCCCCATCAGATGGCTGAGTGGTGGTGCGAGACAGGCAAGCAGACACTGGGTGCGTCTTGCTGCTATGTCATGCCATACTTGCACTCTCCCATGCCTGCTCATGTGACACCACTCACTCATCTACCCCCCCCCCCCCCCCCCACTTATCCCCCATCAGATGGCCGAGTGGTGGTACCAGACAGGCGAGCAGAAGCTCAGTGCTCCCACTGTGTACCCTCCGCCACCACCCCCCCCACCTCCCAAGGCAAGTGCGTTTTCTCCTAAATACGTGTTACGTGTCCATGGTAGTACCATGATAGTACGACAGTAAGCTCAGCGCTCCCACTGTACCCTTCGCTCCGCAGTAACCCCACCAACCCCAGGGCAAGTGCAAAAAAGCGGTCAACCCATCCCCTTCAGCGGGTTCCCCTACACGCCATTTGAGGCGCCTCAAAAGTTCAGCGGGTTCCCCTACACGCCATTCCTTCGAACCCATTCCCTCCCTTGTAATCATTTCCTTCAGCCAATTCCCTTATGATCCACTGCCTTTATCCCTTTCGCTTACAAACCACTCGCTTCAACCCATTGACTTATTATCCATTCCCTTCAACCACTCCCTTTTCACCCATTCTCGGATAACTTATAACCCTCTCCCTTCTCTTCCTTTTTATCTGGCCCCAGGTGGCCCCTGCAGGCATCCCACTGCCTGCTGACGCGCCCTGTGCGTGCTCTGCCTCTGCTTCTGCTGCCAATGCCGTTTATCCCATTCTCTTGTAACCATCTCCCTTGTTTCCCTTTCTTCCTCCTAGGTGACCCCTGCAGGCATCCCCGTGCCTGCTGATCGCTCCCTGTGTCCGCTCTGCCTCTGCCGTCGCACCAACCCCACCGCCCCTGCCACCTCCGGCTTCATCTTCTGCTACCCCTGCATCTTTGCCTACGTGGACAAGGCAAGCAATCCTGTACCCTGGTAACCCTGTAACCTGCATTGAAACGAAACAGTCATCCTCTGTTAACCCTGCATCTTCGCCTAATTGGACAAGGCAGCGCCAGTGCAGTGCCAAGGGCGCGTGACCTCTTTGCCCTTGGCATCCTATCCAGCTCATGCTATTGCTGCATAGTTGTTCATGTTTTTCTGCTCACGTGCTCGTGCATGTTGCCAAGGTTCAAGACCGCGCTTGCTAAGAGATGCCTGACAAGTTTGATTTGCCTTTGCTGAATCAGGATTCAGGGTGGTGAAAGGCTAATGTGGGCCACGTGTTGGAATGAACAACAGCCTCGCTTTAGCTCACCCCGCATGTTTCGCAAAAGGAATTGCGTGTGTGATATTTGACTGTGTTTGTTCTCCAGCATTTCAGCATGGTTTACCCTACTTTGACGCCATCTGTTGACCCCTTTCTGTTCTCCTCCCCTCTGTGCTTCCTCCCCTCCCCATTCCTTTCCTTATCCAACAATTCCCGTCTCTCGCCTCTTCCCTTCTCTCCTCTTTGCTCCTGCATCTCCTCTCCCCCCTCCCCTCCACCATCACCCCCCACCAACATTTTCACCCTCCAGTTCGGTCGCTGCCCCATCACCCACCACCCCACCACTGTGGATCAACTCAGGCGCCTCTTCCCTGATGCATAATACTCTACACTACTGAAAGGTATTATTTCCAGCTTACCGAGTCGACTCAGAAGACTAGAGAGGGCTGCCCCAGTTCCAGCTTGTTAACTAACTCACGCACCTTCTTGTCAAGGCTTAGTAGACTACACTACTCTACAGTTTTGTTTCCAGCTTAGGCACCAAACCCAGGTTCATATTGCTGTACACATTTGGTTGCGCCAGCTTGTTGAACAATATACGGTAGGTAATAAATTTTGTATGAATGCATTGCAAAAAAAATGCGCAAAATTTTGATACTAGATCAAGAATACTGTTATTTCTGATAAAAAATGCATTTAGGGAATCAATGTTGCTGAAACATCATTATTTCATTAACCCATGGTAACAAGTCTCACATTGTGCAAAACAATGCGAAACAGATGTATTTTAATAGTACGCGAACCTTGTGAAAACACTTTATACAGCCTTTAAGCACAACCATCATGGCAGTAACGTAAGGCACGACAGTAACGCTCCGCGCCACTTGCTGCCTCCGTCGGTAGGTGGCGGGGCGGCCACTTGCGCCGTACCGAGCCGCCTTGTCGGGCTGTCCATGCACCTGCCGCCAGAAACACGATTCCTCCTCCCCTTTCCTCTCCCTCCCAGTCCTCGCTTTCGCCTTATCCTGTACTGTGCGGTGCAGTGTCCTTCGTTACGTTACACATGCATCTGTCCTAACAAGGATGGAGTAAAACCACCGTAACAGACCTTACTAAACCACCACGTGTGCTAGCGTGGAGTTGTTGACCGAAGTGATTGTAGAGTGCCTGGTGGGTGCACCACAGGGGAGTAAAGAGCAAGCTCTGAACTGAACTGGTTGGAGAAGGAATTCGGCTCAGTTTGCTCAGAGACGCACCAGTCCCAACCGCCGTTTCGTATATTTCACACACAGGCGACGCGGATGGGGAGGAGCGGGCTGTTCTAGTAGCAAGAGAGAGTCGCGAGTCGTCGCAAGCGGCGAGGCCTCTAGAGACTTAATTTCGATTATCGCGAAGCAGCACGCACCGCCCGGCCCTGCTTGCGCCACGTGTTGATTTCCTTCCTGAATTCCGCCAAAGCCGCGCATTTTCCGCCACCATGCCTTCGCCTCGCCCCGTCGATTCGCCGCCTCGCCCATCCGCGCATTCACCCCTCGCGCGCTCCTCCCGTCGTGGCCGCGTCGGGGCTTCCGCCCTTCCGGAGGCTCGGCGCGCAGCATGGCTGGCAGCTGTCGCAGTCGCCGTCGCCGTTGTCGCAATGGTGTCACCTGCGACTGCTGGGCGACCCAACGTGCTGGATAACTTCCTCCCGCCCTGCCCCACCCTCGCCGAACCTACCAGTGCGCAACCCCGTCCCTTTCTCCCCCTCAGTCCCCCTCCTCTTTCCCGTCTAGCTCCTCTTTTCCCCTCTCCCCTCGCCCTTCCCCTTCTCTTCCTCCCCGTTCCCATCTCCCGTTTCCCCTCCTGCTTCCTTCCTCCTCCTGTTTCTCCTCCCCATCCCCCTTGCGCTCCCCTTACCCCCTCTCTTCCCTTTTCCCCTTCCATCGCGCCGTGGCTTGAATCTCCTCCCTGCCAGCATCCCTCCCTCCCTTTTCCCGGCTCGCTCTCCTCCCTCCCAACGCCCCTGCCCCGGCCCCTTTCCCTCCCCTCAGCCCACCCGTCCATCCCTCCACCCAGCGTGCAAGAAGTGGAGCGACTTGGCAACGTGAGCCCCCGGGTCCATCCCGGGCGCCAACGTCACCATTCCCTGCGGTGAAGCCCCCCTCACTCCCCTTCCCCCGCTCTCCCTCCCCTCCCCCCAGCGTACAAGAAATGGAGCGACCCAGCCACGTGGGCAGGCGGGTCTCAGCATTTCCCGTCACCACTCTCCCCTCCTTCCCCCTTCTTTCCCCCCCTCTCCTCTTCCCCCCAGCGTACAAGAAATGGAGCGACCTGGCGACATGGGCAAGCGGGTCCATCCCGGGCCAAGGCGACGCCGTGGGCGCCAACGTCACCATCGCGTGCGGGGAGGCCATTCTGCTCGACACCTCGCCCATCGCCCTCACTCTCCTCAACATCCGCGGCTTCCTGCGCGTGCTCGACTCCCTCCTCACTTCCCTCCACTTCCTCTCCTTCCCGTTCCTTCTTGTTCCCCTTTCCCCTCCCTCTCCCCATTCAGCGTACAAGAAATGGAGCGACCCGGCGACGTGGGCCCCCGGGCCCATCCCAGGCCGAGGCGACGCCATTGGAGCCAACGTCACAATCGCGTGCGGGGAGGCCATTCTGCTCGACACCTCGCCCATCACCCTCACTCTCCTCAACATCCGCGGCTTCCTGCGCGTGCTCGACTCCCCTGCGCTCCCCAAGGTCGACCTGTCCGCGGCGTTCATAGTGGTGCAGGGGAATTTCTCCATCGGCACGCCGCAGCAGCACTACAGGCAGCGGATCAAGATCACGCTCACGCCCAATCCCAACAACCGCGCGGACTATCTCTTCACCGAGAACCTTCCCGCTGAGCCCGCATTTCCACGGAACCTTGGACACAAGGCGTTTGCAGTGGTGAGTGAATGAGTGAGTGAGTGAATGAGTGAGTGAGTGGCGTTCCGTTGTCGACTGGTTGTCCTCCTCATTCTCCCCAAGGTCGCCTCTCAACCGCGCGGACTATCTGTTCACCGAGAACCTTCCTGCGGAGCCCGCGTTTCCGCGCAATCTCGGCCACAAGGCGTTTGCAGTCGTGAGTTGCGCGTCTCCTCTGCTCTCTCCTTGCCTCTCTCCGCCCCTCCTCCCGCCTGCTCTCCACTCGCCTTCATCCCCCTTCTCCCCTCGTGACCTCCCTTCCTTTCCCCAATGGCTCGTCTGCTGTTTTCACCTGAGCGATCGGGTGATTGTTGCGTCCTGCTTGATACACGTCTGTTGTTTCCTCTCGCCCTCACCCACCTCTGATACATGATGATTGTTCAATACTCTTTTCTCTGTTTTTGTCAGGTGGGCGGCCAGGTGGATTTCCACGGCATGCCAGGTGGCAGCAGCACGCCCGCGTGGACGAAGCTGACGGCGACAGCTCAGCCCAACGACCTGGTGATTACAGTGCAGGATGACGTCAGCGCGTGGCCTCAGGACGCCTTCGTTGTTGTCACATCCACTGACTACTTCCCCGACCAGGCGGAGGTCGTAGGGATCATTGATGGTACGCCAGGATTGACTGGTGAATAGTCCTATCGGGCAGTGTGGGCGAGGCGTATGTGGGACTAGCGGGGCGGGGCATATGTGGCAGTGCGTGTGGGGGATCTCCCCGGTGTCACATCCCGACTACTTCCCGACCAGGCCGAGGTCGTGGGGATCATCGATGGTACGTTGGGGGAAAAGAAACCACTCGGAACCACTGGGAACCACTTTGGAGACCCCAAGAGAGTGCCAGGCAGACTCATTGGTTCACCACGCATTCGCCACCACCTGCCTTCCCCACCTCCCCCCTACCCTTTCCTGCCCTCCCGTGGCGGTTCAAAGATATTTTCGAATAGCCTGATGCACTTCTGAGGTCCCAACCCAAGGGCGAGTTTGGATGGACCAGCCCCGCTCATCATGCTCAGTGCCCTCCATTCCCTTCCTCCCTCCGCCTCTCTCCCCCCCCTTCCAGTAGTGACCCTCCCTTCCGGCGGATAAAAAATCTTCCTGGAAAAGCCGCTCCGCCTGATGCATTTCGGAGATCCCAAGGGCGTGCGTGGACCAGACCAGCCAGACCCACTCAATCATACTAGCCATCCGAACTCCTCCCTCTCTCCCCCCCTCATTCCCTCCAGTGGTGACCCTTCCCTCCGGCGGCTCGAAAATTTACCTGGAAAAGCCGCTCCGCCTGATGCATTTTGGAGATCCCAAGGGCGTGCCGGACGGGTACGGAGGCTTCGTGGACCAATGGGCCGAAGTGGCCCTCCTGAACCGCTCCATCGCCATCACACCGCCTCTGGATTCTCTGCCACCTTTCAACCCTCTCTCTCTCTCTCACTCTCTCCCTCCCCCCCCCTGCCTCCCTTCCTTCAGTGGTGGCACTCCCTTCGGGCGGCTCGAAAATATTCCTCGAAAAGCCGCTCCGCTTGATGCATTTTGGAGATCCCAAGGGCGTGCCGGACGGGTACGGGGGCTTCGTGGACCAGCGGGCCGAAGTGGCCCTCCTCAACCGCTCCATCGCCATCACGGGAACAGACGAGCCGGCGCCGTACCACCGAGAGGGCGGGCACTTCATGATCTTCATGAGCAACACGCCTCAGTTCATTGAAGGCGTGGAGTTTGCCCAGATGGGGCAGCAGGGGAAGCTGGGGCGATATAATATCCACTTTCACGTGTGCGGGGATGACGCGGGGCGGAGTGTTGTGCGGAAGAACGTTATGCATGACAGCAAGCAGGTGAGGGCGGGGTGGTGGGGAGCAGGAGAAGGTGGGAGCAAGAAGGTGAAGCTGGGGCAATATGCGGGATGACCAGGGCGGAGTGTTGTGCGGAAGAACGTCATTCATGACAGCAAGCAGGTGAGGGCGGGCGGGGTGGTGGGGAGTGGGTGGGGGAGGGATGGGAGCAAGCAGGAGAAGGTGGGAGCAAGAAGGTGAAGCGGGGCAATATGCGGGGATGACCAGGGTGGAGTGTGGTGCGGACGAACGTGATGCATGATAGCAAGCAGGTGAGGGGGGGTTGATGGTGGTGCGAAGCAGGTGAGGGCTGAGATGAGAGCAAGTATGTGAGGGATGGCGGAAACAAAACAGCACCTTTCATTTCCCGCCCCCACCACCACGTAGCCTTGATGGCGCTGTCTTGATGGCGCTGCCTTGATGGCGCTGCCTTGATGGCGCTGCCTTGATGGCGCTGCCTTGATGGCGCTGCCTTGATGGCGCTGCCTTGATTCTTCCTTTCGCCCACGTCCTCCCTTCATCACCAGCGCTGTGTGGTGACGCACACGATCTTCAACCTCACAGTCGAAGAGAACATGGCATACCACACGAGTCACCAAGATCCCTTCTTTTCCCTCACTGTTTGTTGGCTCCTTTATGTTCCCTTTGCGTCCCCATTCCCCCCAGCGCTGTGTGGTGGTGCACACGACGTTCAACCTCACGGTCGAAGAGAACGTGGCATACCACACGAGGGGCCACTGCTTCATGGTGGAGGAGAACGTGGCATACCACACGAGGGGCCACTGCTTCATGGTGGAGGAGAACGTGGCATACCACACGAGGGGCCACTGCTTCATGGTGGAGGAGAACGTGGCATACCACACGAGGGGCCACTGCTTCATGGTGGAGGAGAACGTGGCATACCACACGAGGGGCCACTGCTTCATGGTGGAGGAGAACGTGGCATACCACACGAGGGGCCACTGCTTCATGGTGGAGGAGAACGTGGCATACCACACGAGGGGCCACTGCTTCATGGTGGAGGAGGGGGGGGAGGGGCGAGACCGGCACTCACTGTCTGCTCTTTGCCCTTTGCGCTTTGCTCCTTGCATCCCTCACACCCCTCCCCACCAGCGCTGTGTGGTGGTGCACACGACGTTCAATCTCACCGTCGAAGAGAACGTGGCATACCACACGAGGGGCCACTGCTTCATGGTGGAGGAGAACGTGGCATACCACACGAGGGGCCACTGCTTCATGGTGGAGGAGGGGGGGGAGGGGCGAGACCGGCACTCACTGTCTGCTCTTTGCCCTTTGCGCTTTGCTCCTTGCATCCCTCACACCCCTCCCCACCAGCGCTGTGTGGTGGTGCACACGACGTTCAATCTCACCGTCGAAGAGAACGTGGCATACCACACGAGGGGCCACTGCTTCATGGTGGAGGAGAACGTGGCATACCACACGAGGGGCCACTGCTTCATGGTGGAGGAGGGGGGGGAGGGGCGAGACCGGCACTCACTGTCTGCTCTTTGCCCTTTGCGCTTTGCTCCTTGCATCCCTCACACCCCTCCCCACCAGCGCTGTGTGGTGGTGCACACGACGTTCAATCTCACCGTCGAAGAGAACGTGGCATACCACACGAGGGGCCACTGCTTCATGGTGGAGGAGAACGTGGCATACCACACGAGGGGCCACTGCTTCATGGTGGAGGAGGGGGGGGAGGGGCGAGACCGGCACTCACTGTCTGCTCTTTGCCCTTTGCGCTTTGCTCCTTGCATCCCTCACACCCCTCCCCACCAGCGCTGTGTGGTGGTGCACACGACGTTCAATCTCACCGTCGAAGAGAACGTGGCATACCACACGAGAGGCCACTGCTTCATGGTGGAGGAGGGCGGCGAGACCGACAACACCTTCCTGCGCAACCTCGGCATCTGGACGAGAGCAGGTGCGGTGAATCTGGTCAAGAGCTGGTGGGTCAAATCAAATTGTCTCCCTTCATCTCCCTCCCTGTCCCCCTCCCTTCACCTACCCTACCCTCCTCACCCTTTAAAGCCGTTGGCCCAAATTGCACAAGTTTTAAAAGGATGACGCGAGGGGTTTTTTCTGGTCTGGGTTTTCGCGAGTGATTCCCATTTCGTTTTTTTTCGTTTTTATCGCCAAACCCAGCCTGCCCTGGAATTTCGCCCTGGGAGTTGGTTCAGTCCCCGAAGTCCCAAATTGCAAGCGCGCTTCTTTTCAAAGCTTGCAAACACCACTTCGTCAAGTTTTAAAAGCTTGACCCGCGCGCTCCGCAATTTGGGCCGCGGGCTTTAACAGTGGAGGTGCTCATCCCGCTCTCATCCGAACATATGGAAATCGTTTTTGAGAATTCTCAAAAGCGATTTCCCTCCTCACCCTCAACAGTGGAGGTGCTCATCCCGCTCTCATCCGACCCCACCAAGACGGAGGAGACAGACGATGTCCTGTTCACGTTAGCACATGCACGTGACTTGTACCTTATCCCCACCCCCAACCACCCCCTGCTTTTGAGGCGCCTCAAAACTTGTACCTTATCCCCACCCCCAACCACCCCCTGCTTTTGAGGCGCCTCAAAACTTGTACCTTATCCCCACCCCCAACCACCCCCTGCTTTTGAGGCGCCTCAAAACTTGTACCTTATCCCCACCCCCAACCACCCCCTGCTCCCCCTCACCGCCTCTCCTATCAGTGGAGGTGCTCATCCCGCTGTCAGCAGCCGACCCCACCAAGACGGAGGAGACGGACGACAACCCGGCCATCTTCTCGTTCACCCAGTGCTTGCCTTACTCCCTTTCATCTCTCTCTCTCCCAACCATCAACCCATCAACCATTCCCCCCTATCAGTGGAGGTGCTCATCCCGCTGTCAGCAGCCGACCCCACCAAGACGGAGGAGACGGACGACGCCCCGTCCACGTTTTGGATCACCAACCCCAACAACAACTTCATTGGGAACGTGGCCGCTGGCTCTGAGAACTCGGGGTACGTTTCTTCTGCTTTTCTCTGTGCACTCGTGGGTGTGACTTTAGACGGTGGGGAGCATCAACGCCCCGTCCACCTTCTGGATCACCAACCCCAACAGCTTCATTGGGAACGTGGCGGCCGGCTCTGAAAACTCAGGGTATGTTCCAATTAGGGCGCATTCTGATTGGGTGCACGCGCGCGAGGAGAAGAAAGTAACCCATCACCATCACAGACAGACAGACAGACAGGGGTGCGTTCTGATTCCAGCGGCGGCAACAACCCGTCCACGTTTTGGATCACCAATCCCGAGGCGACAACTACTTCATTGAAAACGTCGCCGCTGGCTCTGAGAACTCGAGGTGGGTTGTGAGTGAGGTGGGTGGGTGGGGTGGTTGTGAGTCCGTGCAAGTGTGAGTGTGAGAGCAAGTGAGTGTTGGCAGACAGGCAGACTGGAGGTTGACAAACCTCACCGTCTTCTCGATCACCATTCACCCCAACAACAGCTCCCTCGGCAGCTATGGTGCCGCTGGCTCTGAGAACTGGGGGTGGGGTGCGAGTCCGTGCAAGTGCGGCTGTGAGTGTGGAGGGACGGGAGGGACAGACAGATGCAGATCAATTGATTGGTACAGATAGGGTAGGAACAGGGAGGCTACAACCTTACAACTTTGCTCGTGCCCTTACAACTTTGCTCCCCTCCCTCCCGCACACAACCCCCCAACCAACCAGTTATTGGATGGAGCTGAGGGACCGGGTGCGCGGATTCATGCTCTCCTACCCCGGGCTCAATGCCTCAGTGCCGGCCAACGGCCGCTTTGCTATCCACCCCTCTGATCTATGTCCCTTTCTCCCCTTGCCACTCTTCCCCCCCTCTTCCTGCACACAACCCCCCTCTGTCACAGCTATTGGATGGAGCTGAGGGACCGGGTGCGCGGATTCACGCTCTCTTACCCCGGACTCAATGCTACAGTCCCTGCCAACGGCCCCTTTGGCATTTATCGTGACAATGTGGCCCACAGCAACCGAGGGCCGGGGTGGAGGACTTATCCCAAGGGGGTGCGACCGCGGCAAACCTGGTCTTTGGAATCTCCGATCCCCCAGGTGAGAGGGAGGGACTCACATGGGTCAAGGTCAAGGTGACTTCTGGGTCGACTCAGAAGTCAACGCCACCGTGCCGGCCAACGGCCCCTTTGGCATCTACCGTGATAACGTGGCCCACAGCAACCGAGGGCCGGGGTGGAGGACTTATCCCAAGGGGGTGCGACCCTAAGGTAGGGACGCCTATTGGTCGCTGGATTCGCGTATCCCTCAGGTAGGGATGCATGGCAGGAGAGTGGGCCGTGGAGAATGCACGTGGAACACAGCAACAGAGGGCCGGGCTGACGCACCATCAGAGGGTTGGCACTCGCCTGTGTGCACACAAACCCTCAAACCTCTCACCACCGCACCCCACCTCTCGCCCCAACCGCAGTGGCAGTGGAAGCCGTCTACAGGAACCATCAGCGGGCTGCTTCTCTACAAGCAATCCGGGGATGGGTGAGTGGTTTGGAGGGGCAATGAGTGGTTTGTAGGCGCGGTGAGTGGTTTGGAGGGGTGATGAGTGGTACAAGGGGCAGCTAGCGGGCGCATGTCTCAGCCCCTGGGAAAGCTCTAACTGGCCCATGCTTTGTTTCCCTGACCATCCCATGCTTCGTTTCCCTGACCATCCCATGCTTTGTTTCCCTGACCATCCCATGCTTCGTTTCCCTGACCATCCCATGCTTTGTTTCCCTGACCATCCCATGCTTTGTTTCCCTGACCATCCCATGCTTTGTTTCCCTGACCATCCCATGCTCTTTTTCCCTGACCATCCCATGCTTTGTTTCCCTGACCATCCCATGCTTTGTTTCCCTGACCATCCCATGCTCTTTTTCCCCGACCATCCCATGCTTTGTTTCCCTGACCATCCCATGCTTTGTTTCCCTGACCATCCCATGCTTTGTTTCCCTGACCATCCCATGCTTTGTTTCTCTGACCATCCCATGCTTTGTTTCCCTGACCATCCCATGCTTTGTTTCCCTGACCATCCCATGCTTTGTTTCCCTGACCATCCCATGCTTTGTTTCCCTGACCATCCCATGCTTTGCTTCCCTGACAATCTCATGCTTTGTTTCCCTGACCATACCATGCTTTGTTTCCCTGACCATCCCATGCTTTGTTTCCCTGACCATCCCATGCTTTGTTTCCCTGACCATCCCATGCTTTGTTTCCCTGACCATCCCATGCTTTGCTTCCCTGACCATCCCATGCTTTGTTTCCCTGACCATCCCATGCTTTGTTTCCCTGACCATCCCATGCTTTGTTTCCCTGACCATCCCATGCTTTGCTTCCCTGACCATCTCATGCTTTGTTTCCCTGACCATCCCATGCTTTGTTTCCCTGACCATCCCATGCTTTGTTTCCCTGACCATCCCATGCTTTGTTTCCCTGACCATCCCATGCTTTGTTTCCCTGACCATCCCATGCTTTGCTTCCCTGACCATCCCATGCTTTGTTTCCCTGACCATCCCATGCTTTGTTTCCCTGACCATCCCATGCTTTGTTTCCCTGACCATCCCATGCCGCACTAGCTTCCCTAAGGCCAGCGTTTCCCACCAAACCCCCCTCGTCACCCCTTTCCCCCATGTTCCCACTCCCCACCCCTCTCCTCGCCAGTTTGTTCGTGCACAATTCAGACGGACTCATCATCACCAACAGCACGTTTGCTGACAACCGCCAGGGGCTGAACCTGCTGGGCAACACGGGCGTGAAGGTGACAGACAGCCGATTCATCGGGGTGACGCCCAACTATGGCAACCCCCGCATGTGCGACTCGACTCCGCAGATGTGTGGGCCTGTCACCGGCTGCGAGTGAGTATAGCTTGTGATGGGAGGGTTTCAGTGAGTATTGGGTGGAGCAGAGGGAGTGATGGAGTGAGGGAGCAGGGAGCAGACTAAGAGGGTGACAGACAGCCGGTTCATTGGGGTGACGCCCAAATATGGCAACCCGCGCATGTGTGACTCGACTCCGCAGATGTGTGGGCCTGTGGCCGGCTGCGAGTGAGTGTTGGGGTGGGGCAGGGAGAGTGAGGGAAGGGAGTGAGAGTGAGAGTGACAGACAGCCCCCTTGGTGTTCGTGCGGGTGTCTCCCTACTATGGCTACCTACGCATGTGTGACTCCACACCGCAGATGTGTGGGAAAGTGTGAGGGGTTGTGGGAGCGGAGGGAGTGAGAGAGAAGAGGGAGTGAGAGAGCAGAGGGAGTGAGAGAGCAGGGAGTGAGGGAGCAGAGGGAGTAAGGGAGCAGAGGGAGTGAAGGAGCGGAGGGAGTGAGGGAGCAAATACAGTGACTGAGGCAGGCAGCAGAGGTAAGCTAGCAAATGTCTGAACGCACATAATTTCATGAATGTCTTTGCCCAAACTCAAAACCGTAATGCAGCTTCCCACTGGCGCCAGGGCAGCAGGGGCGGTCGCATTGGAAGACCCCCACCTTCGGCATCATCCATCTCACTCTCTGTGCTGTGCACGTGTGTGTGGGCATGTGCGTTGATGTGCCTCCCCCATGCAGCTTCCCCCTGGCTGCTGGGCAGCAGGGGCGGTCACAGGGGTGGTCGCACTGGAAGAACCCCATCTTTGGCATCATCATCGACCATCCCACCTTTGGATTCGACTTCGCCCGCGCCCACGCCATCTCCAACTGCCAGTCAGCCGCCTCAACACCCTGCTCTCTGTCCACCCACCCGTCCGCTCCGCTCCTGTCCATCCGTTGTCTCTCTGTGAATTTGTACACCCGCTTTCTCTCCGACCGCTCCCCCCAACCTTGTACAACGACCTCTTTCTGCAATCCATCTCATCCCTCCCCACTGCACCGCACCCCTTGGAACCTCACACCATGGCGCCCCACTTGACTTCACTGCACTGAGCCCCTTTGCAGGTTCCACGCGTATGACAGCACGTGCCGCCTAGCTGCTGCCATCGGCGCGGGCATCAACGGAGCTCCCAAGGACACATGGGCCACGGCCACCAGTGTGCAGGTGCGTGGGGTGGTTACCACATAACTCGTGGCTGTTTACTGTCGGGTGAGTGAGCGCCTTGCCTTGTTGTGTGGCATATGACTAGCTGCTCAAGTACAAGGGTCCTGCCTCCTGCCAGGGGCACGGGCATCAACGGAGCTCCCAAGGACACGTGGGCCACGGCCACCAGTGTGCAGGTGAGATGAGAGCGTTAGTGTATGGCGGCTGCCTGAGCCTTACCATGTGCCCCTTCACTGGTGGGTGCACTGCACTGCTGGTAGCAGTGAAACGTAGGCAGTGGAGCACCGAGAGACCCCAGTGCTCTCTGAGCACCGAGAGACCCCAGTGCTCTCTGAGCACCGAGAGACCCCAGTGCTCTCTGAGCACCGAGAGACCCCAGTGCTCTCTGAGCACCGAGAGACCCCAGTGCTCTCTGAGCACCGAGAGACCCCAGTGCTCTCTGAGCACCGAGAGACCCCAGTGCTCTCTGAGCACCGAGAGACCCCAGTGCTCTCTGAGCACCGAGAGACCCCAGTGCTCTCTGAGCACCGAGAGACCCCAGTGCTCTCTGAGCACCGAGAGACCCCAGTGCTCTCTGAGCACCGAGAGACCCCAGTGCTCTCTGAGCACCGAGAGACCCCAGTGCTCTCTGAGCACCGAGAGACCCCAGTGCTCTCTGAGCACCGAGAGACCCCAGTGCTCTCTGAGCACCGAGAGACCCCAGTGCTCTCTGAGCACCGAGAGACCCCAGTGCTCTCTGAGCACCGAGAGACCCCAGTGCTCTCTGAGCACCGAGAGACCCCAGTGTAGGGATGAGCAAAGGGCGAACACGAACATGTTCGTCTTCGCCCCTTGTCGAACACCCTCTTTTGCCGAACTGAACACTGTTCGGTTCGGCGAACACTTTGAGCAAAAAATGGTGTTCGTCGTTCGCCTGTGAAGGCGTGTTCGGGCGAACCTCGAACACTGTTCGTGTTCGTCGCGGGCAAATTTCAGCAGCGGCCCGAACACGAACGTGTTCGGGCGAACATCGAACATTGTTCGGCGAACGATTTGAGCTAAAAAACAAAACCTGTTCGGTTCGCCTCGAACACGTTCGAGGCGAACCGAACAGGTGTTCGCCACCTTGCTCATCCCTACCCCAGTGCTCTCTGAGCACCGAGAGACCCCAGTGCTCTCTGAGCACCGAGAGACCCCAGTGCTCTCTGAGCACCGAGAGACCCCAGTGCTCTCTGAGCACCGAGAGACCCGTGCTCTGATCTCCCTGCAACCTCATTCCCCACCTCCACCTACGTTTCTATTTCGGTCATTTCTCATCTCAATGCCTCTCTCACTCACCCCATGTCAACCCCTGTGCCTGCCCGTCCCTCTCATCGCACCAGTCCCACTGACCTCTTTCTCCTCCTCCACCACATTTCTCCTTCTCCCCTCCATGCCCCCACCCCTCTCATCCCAACCCTCTCATCCCACCTCACTCGTCCCACCCCTCTCATCCAATCCTATCCCATCATGGCAGGCTGTGACAGGCACACCCGGCACCAACATGCTCTACTTTCCTCCCCGCAACTTCACCTTCCCCGTGAGTGCTGCTGCTCCCTTCCTCCCACCTGACCTCGCACGTGAGCTCTCCGTGAGGTCCCCGTGAGTGCTGCCAGCGGAAGCTCACTGCCCAACTCCTCCTCTGGTGTGCACTTTGCCACCACTGCCCAACTCCTCCTCTGGTGTGCACTTTGCCACCACTGCCCAACTCCTCCTCTGGTGTGCACTTTGCCACCACTGCCCAACTCCTCCTCTGGTGTGCACTTTGCCACCACTGCCCAGCTCCTCCTCTGGTGTGCACTTTGCCACCACTGCCCAACTCCTCCTCTGGTGTGCACTTTGCCACCACTGCCCAGCTCCTCCTCTGGTGTGCACTTTGCCACCACTGCCCAACTCCTCCTCTGGTGTGCACTTTGCCACCGCTGCCCAACTCCTCCTCTGGTGTGCACTTTGCCACCACTGCCTATCCCCCACCCTGCTATGTTTGCCCCATACGTCTCAACTCAAGGGCCAGGACGCACGACGTGTTTGACGTGCCGGTACACTTCCCTTTCCCTTTCCCTTTCCCTTTCCGTTTCCCTTTCCCTTTCCCTTTCCTTTTCCCTTTCCCTTTCCCTTTCCTTTTCCCTTTCCCTTTCCCTTTCCCTTTCCTTTTCCATTTCCCTTTCCCTTTCCCTTTCCCTTTCCTTTTCCCTTTCCCTTTCCCTTTCCTTTTCCCTTTCCCTTTCCTTTTCCCTTTCCTTTTCCCTTTCCCTTTCCCTGTCCCTTTCCCTTTCCCTTTCCTTTTCCCTTTCCCTTTCCTTTTCCCTTTCCCTTTCCCTTTCACTTTCCTTTTCCTTTTCCCTTTCCCTTTCCCTTTCCCTTTCCTTTTCCCTTTCCCTTTCCTTTTCCTTTTCCCTTTCCCTTTCCCTTTCCTTTTCCCTTTCCCTTTCCCTTTCCTTTTCCCTTTCCTTTTCCCTTTCCCTTTCCCTTTCCCTTTCCCTTTCCTTTTCCCTTTCCCTTTCCCTTTCCTTTTCCTTTTCCCTTTCCCTTTCCCTTTCCCTTTCCTTTTCCCTTTCCCTTTCCTTTTCCCTTTCCCTTTCCCTTTCCCTTTCCCTTTCCCTTTCCTTCCCTTTCCCTTTCCCTTTCCCTTTCCCTTTCCCTTTCCCTTTCCCTTTCCTTTTCCCTTTCCCTTTCCCTTTCCATTTCCCTTTCCCTTTCCCTTTCCCTGTCCCTTTCCTTTTCCCTTTCCCTTTCCCTTTCCCTTTCCCCTTGCTGCAGGCTTGCAGGCTGTGGGGTCACGGTTCTGAGCACGGGGTCACGGTTCTGAGCACGGGGTCACGGTTCTGAGCACGGGGTCACGGTTCTGAGCACGGGGTCACGGTTCTGAGCACGGGGTCAGTGATTGTGGCATCAGTGATCCACGTCTCCCACTGTCAGGGTCGCTTGCAACGACATCCGCCTCCCCACTCTCTCTCTCTTCTTCACTCCCCACCCATTACTACTTCCCACCCACCCCAAAAGGGAGGAGACGTGAACAGAGGAGGAGAGGCAACAGACCTGTACACCCTGTGGGACAAAGACGGCTCTCTGCTCAACGCCACTGCCGGAGGCTACCTGCTGGCAAACAACACCGCCCTGCTGCCCCCCACCAAGCGCTTCCCTGCTTGCCAGCCCGTGCCCGCTTGGAATGCCTATGCGTGCCCGGGGACATGCTACCGTACTGTCATGTTTACTTACCTGGAGCCGGGGTTTGCTGTGTATGCGAACAGCAGCGTGCCGGATACACGCAAGCGAGGGGACTTCAGGTGAGGGACTTCAGGTGAGGGACTTCAGGTGAGGGACTTCAGGTGAGGGACTTCAGGTGAGGGACTTCAGGTGAGGGACTTCAGGTGAGGGACTTCAGGTGAGGGACTTCAGGTGAGGGACTTCAGGTGAGGGACTTCAGGTGAGGGAACAATGGCTAATGGATGGGCGTGAGTGGATGAGTGGGTGGGGGGATGAGGGGGTGGGGGAAAGGAAAGGATGGATGGGGGAAAGAGTGGATGGGAGAACGGGTGTATGGGGGAAAGAGTGGATGGGGGGATGAGGGGAGTGAGTGCCGGATGTGTGAACTGGATCTGAGTGGTGTTGATGGTGGTGTTGATGGTGGTGTTGATGGTGGTGTTGATGGTGGTGTTGATGGTGGTGTTGATGGTGGTGTTGATGGTGGTGTTGATGGTGGTGTTGATGGTGGTGTTGATGGTGGTGTTGATGGTGGTGTTGATGGTGGTGTTGATGGTGGTGTTGATGGTGGTGTTGATGGTGGTGTTGATGGTGGTGTTGATGGTGGTGTTGATGGTGGTGTTGATGGTGGTGTTGATGGTGGTGTTGATGGTGGTGTTGATGGTGGTGTTGATGGTGGTGTTGATGGTGGTGTTGATGGTGGTGTTGATGGTGGTGTTGATGGTGGTGTTGATGGTGGTGTTGATGGTGGTGTTGATGGTGGTGTTGATGGTGGTGTTGATGGTGGTGTTGATGGTGGTGTTGATGGTGGTGTTGATGGTGGTGTTGATGGTGGTGTTGATGGTGGTGTTGATGGTGGTGTTGATGGTGGTGTTGATGGTGGTGTTGATGGTGGTGTTGATGGTGGTGTTGATGGTGGTGTTGATGGTGGTGTTGATGGTGGTGTTGATGGTGGTGTTGATGGTGGTGTTGATGGTGGTGTTGATGGTGGTGTTGATGGTGGTGTTGATGGTGGTGTTGATGGTGGTGTTGATGGTGGTGTTGATGGTGGTGTTGATGGTGGTGTTGATGGTGGTGTTGATGGTGGTGTTGATGGTGGTGTTGATGGTGGTGTTGATGGTGGTGTTGATGGTGGTGTTGATGGTGGTGTTGATGGTGGTGTTGATGGTGGTGTTGATGGTGGTGTTGATGGTGGTGTTGATGGTGGTGTTGATGGTGGTGTTGATGGTGGTGTTGATGGTGGTGTTGATGGTGGTGTTGATGGTGGTGTTGATGGTGGTGTTGATGGTGGTGTTGATGGTGGTGTTGATGGTGGTGTTGATGGTGGTGTTGATGGTGGTGTTGATGGTGGTGTTGATGGTGGTGTTGATGGTGGTGTTGATGGTGGTGTTGATGTTGGTGTGGGACAGTTTGGGCTCACGCTGTCCCTGGTGGTTTTTTAGATTCCTCAAGAGCTGTGCTGTCCCTGGTGGTTAACTCCTCTCATACCCTCCATCGCTTACCCTATTTGCTACACTAGACTTGTTACCCACTATTTGTTGCCCTCTTCCTGCCATCCCCTGCTCTCTGCTACTCCTTTCCCCGCCACCCCTCCACTCCCTATTACTCCCCCCCTCTCGCTGCCTCAGCTACCTCTCCATTCGGCGGCGCATAGAGGACGACACAGTCATCTAAGTGGACGGCAAAATGCGATCTATCAGCAACCCATGATGCCCTTTTCTATGTCCCTGTATATTTCCACCCCTCTTCTGCCCCCTCCACCAACCCAGCTACCTCGCCATTCGTCGCATAGAGGATGAGACAGTGATCACAGTGGACGGCAATTTGCGGTCTATCGGAAATACATGAGCACATAGAGTGCACATTCTGTTCTACCAGTAACCCAGCATTGTTTACCTCATTCCACCCCTCTGCCACCCTGCTATACTTTCCTCACCCATCCCAATTACCTCTCGATTCGTCGCATAGAGGACGACACAGTGATCACAGTGGGCGGCAATCTGCGGTCGGTGGGCAACACATCATGACCCAACTTACCATCCTATTTACCCTATTTTAATCGCATTTTACCCCATTGATACCCTTTCTTCACCCAGTTACCTCTCTATTCGCCGCATAGAGGACGACACAGTGATCACAGTGGACGGCAATCTGCGGTCGGTGGGCAACATGTGGACAGCAGATCAGCGCATCTTCGTGGTGCCCCTGCTGGCGAACGCCACCTACGAGGTCAACATAGGGTTACCGGGTAACAACCGCGCCTTCTTCCCCAGCAACATCACGGTGCAATTGCGCGACAGCAACGGGTGTGGCGGGCCGGTGACTCTGAGGATTCCGGCGAAGCAGAGCAACCAATGGATGATCAAGGAGGAGCAAGACGTGAACTGGAAGTGAGTATTGCTGGGGCTGGTGCTGCTGCTGCTACTGTTTGTTGCTGGTGTGGTCACATAATTTATTAGTGGGCCTTGGGACTCTGAGAATCCCAGCGAAGCAGAGCAACCAGTGGATGACCAATGAGGAGCAAGACGTGAACTGGAGGTGAGTGAAGGTGCCTCTGCTGGTGCTGCTGGTGCTGAATGCTGATGGTTGTTCAAATTCAGGCCCACTTCCGGGCTGCCCTTTATTCACCCTCCACCTGCCCACGACTCTTCCCTTCCCCACTACGCTGCAGGGCCTGCGCGGGCACATCAGACAAAGCAGCGGTGCAGTTCTCATTCGTGTGCTTCAAGTTCAAGCCAACTCTCGAGCTCTTTTTCGACGGAACCTCCTCCAAGCCAATCGTGCTCCGCGCCTCCGCAAACCCCGTCACCGGCTGCCGCCTCCCCTAGTAAGCGCCTCCCCCACCACCTCTCCCCCATCGGTGATGGCAGGCATACCTGCATGCACCCCTGGTTCTATCCATCTCGTGTTGTTGCCACCCCTAAACCCTAAACCTCTAGTGGGCCACTGGAGTCCTCATGGGCGTACGATGTGAGTGGCAGGGATGGCAGGGAGCTGCATGCTTGGGTTGCACCTGTGCTTGTTCCCAACTGTCTATCCCTTACTGCCAGTCGCTGCGGCCTCGTGGCACTGGGGTCAACATGGGCATGTGACGTGAGTGGCAGGGAGCTGCATGCATCAGAGCTTGTCCAGTTTTAAGACTTCTCATTTTTGAGACGTCTCAAAACTGCAGCCTCGTGGCACCGTACCCAACATGGGCATGCGACATGGAGCTGCATGCAGCACTGCTTGTCCTCAATTCTCTCTGTTGCCATCCCTCCCCAATCCCACCCCCCTTTTCCACCAGTCGCTGCGGCCTTGTGGCACCGGGGTCCACGTGGGCATACGATGTCAGCGGCAGGGAGCTGCATGCGGCAGTGACGGGCGCCATGGGCTTCAGCTCTCCGCGCTTCAACGATGCCAGCTGGCCGCGAGGCCCGGCTATCATTGGCTATGTGGGATGTACGTGTGTGGGGGTGCTGGCATGGCTTGTGGTGTGTTGCTGCATGCAGCAATCTCGGGCGCCATGGGATTCATCTCAACGCGACGCTTCCTGGCCCCGCGGCCCTGCCATCATAGGCTATGATGACGGCATGTGGGTGAAGGCATGTGGGTGAAGGCATGTGGTGAAGGCATGTGGGTACAGTACAGACAGCATGAGTGGCAGGGAGCTGCATGCGGCAATGACGGCGCCGTGGGCTTCAGCTCTCCGCGCTTCAACGATGCCAGCTGGCCCAGGGGACCCGCCATCATCGGCTATGTTGGTTGGATGTACGTGTGTGTGTGTGCGTGCGTGCGTGCGTGCGTGCGTGCGTGCGTGCGTGCGTGCGTGCGTGCGTGCACGTGTGTGTGTGCGTGCGTGCGTGCGTGCGTGCGTGCACGTGTGTGTGCTGGCATATGGGTGGCATGGCATGTGAGTGAAGGCATGTGGGAACAGAAACACAGCATGAGCGGCAGGGAGGTGCATGCAGCATTGACGGGCTTCAGCTCTCCGCGCTTCAACGACACGTCCTGGCCCAGAGGACCAGCTATCATCGGTCATGCGAGATGTTACGTGTGTGTGTGGGGTGGCATGTGGTTGTTGTCAGACTGTGCGACCAGACAAGGCTCACAACGTGAGTGGCATGGCATCAAGCAGCATGCAGCAGTGACGGGCGCCATGGGCTTCCCTTTTCTGTTGGCACATGCTTCTTCCCCATCCTCCTTTCCTCCCCTCATCCCACCCGTTTCAACCCCCCAGGGCGGTGGGTCGGCATCAACACATGGACACCCCCCTCAGGAGACGCCCTGCCCACCTTCTACTACCGGCGGCCGTTCCGAGTGGCCAACAGCGCGTGTGCCACGGGGCTGTATGTGGACGTGATCGTGAACGACGGCGTGCTTCTCTATCTCAACGGGGTGGAGATGCTGCGAGTCAACATGGCACCCGGCGCTGTGAATGTTTCCTCGAGGGTGAGTGAGACGCTAGTGGCTCTCAACCTTGAGACCGTGCTGCTGTGCGCGCATGTGCCAAGTGGTGCCAACAGCACATGTGCCACGGGCTGTATGTGGATGTGATAGTCAACGATGGCATGCTGCTGTACCTCAACGGGGTGGAGATGCTCCGAGTCAACATGGCTCCTGGTGCGGTCAACGTCTCCTCAAGGGTGAGTGAGACTGTAACAATACAGTGGTGAGACTATAGAATTCACTGCGTGGGACAGCATGGTGCTGTGCATGTGTGTGCCACGGGGCTGTATGTGGATGTGATAGTGAACGACCGCGTACTCCTCTATCTTAACGGGGTGGAGATGCTGAGAGTCAACATGGCACCTGGTGCTGTCAACGTGTGGTCGAGGCGAGGGTGAGATTATAACAATGCAGTGGGTTAGACAGGGGCTGCTGTGCGTGCATGCGTGTGCCACAGGGCTACATGTCATTGTGATAGTGAACGATGGTGTGCTGCTGTACCTGACTGGGTGGAGATGCTGGGAGTCAACATGGCTGCCGGCGCTGTCAAGGTGTTGTCACGGGTGAGAATCGCAAGAAGCGGTGTGCTGGTGGGGTGAGTAAAACTGTAACGTGTCCTCTAGGTTGAGACTTACACAAGACCTCTCTTCCATCTATGCCCCCCCAATCTCCCCAAACCCCGCTTCTATCTCGTTCTCCTCTCTCCTCCAGGCCCTATCCAACCAGAACGTGTGGGACTACACGTCCTTCTTCATCCCTCTCAACGCCACAGCACCCTTCTCTCTCGCGGAGGGCACCAACCACATCGCCGCCGAATCACACGCCGCAATCTGGACCACCGAGAACTTCTTTGACCTCAAACTGTCCGCCCAGATGGAGTGAGTTGTTTGGGCGAGAAGACAGAGAGTTGTTGGGTTGGGGGAAACGGTGGTATGGGGGAATGGATTGGAGGACTCAAGATACCCACCGCACTGCAATGCAGTCGCACGCCACCATCTGGACCACCGAGAAATTCTTTGAACTCAAACTGTCCGCCCAGATGGAGTGAGTTGTTTGGGCGTTCTGAGTTGTCTCAACAGATAGTGTGAGTGGCTGATTGCCGGCAGAGAGGTTGGTATGGTGGATTGGATTGATCGAAGGACCCAACCACATCGCTGCCGAGTGATCAACGGTGCCATCCCAATCCTTAACCTCAAGCTATCACCATCTTTGACCTCAAACTGTCACCATCTCTCTCCACTCTTCTCCTTCCTACCTCGTCTCCTCATTCTTCTCCTCGCTCTTCTCATTTCTCGTCTCGTCTTCTCCCCACCGAGCAGTAGCGCAACATGCAGTGGCGTGCTCATTCTACAGGAGGTGTGCGACGGGCTCGACAACAACAACGACGGTGAGCAACGGTGCATGGTGGTGCATGGTGGTGGATGGTGGCGCATGGTTGGTGAGGGGGACTGAACACACATAACGGTGGTCTCATTCTGCAGGTGTGAGACGGGCTCGACAACAACAACAACGATGGTGAGTCGGGGAATGGTAGTGAAAGGGTGGATAATGGTGGGACGATGGACGATTTGTGAGGGGGAAGGAATGAACAATCAGAAAACACACACCCTGCCTCCCACGCACCCCTGCTGTCCGTACCCGACCCTTACATGCACCTGTTGCTCCCATCGCTGCCACACCCCATCTCAACATTCCCCATCTCAACATTCCCTATCTCACTTTCTCCCATCTAACCTCTAGAATCTCACCCTCACACCGACAACAACCATCCTTGCCATACTCCCCCCCCCACAACCCCCCTCCCCACTCTCCCTCCTTCCCCACCCCCCCTTCCCTCCTTACTTCCCTTCCCTCCCTACTCCCCCCTCTCCGCACTCCCCCTCCCCCCAATCCACAGGCAAGGTTGACATAGACCCACTGACCGACCGGCTTCTCACGCGCCCGTGCCATCCATGTGTGCACGTCACATGCACATCCCTTCCGAGGCTGCTCATTTCCCCCCTTCCACCTCCTTCCATCTAATCCAATCCACAGGCAGGGTGGACATAGACCCACTGACCGACCGGCTTCTCACGTGCCCGTGCCATCCATGTATGCACATCCCTTCCTTGGCCCCTCATACCCACCCCTCCCTCTCTCCCCTCCCCCCAATCCACAGGCAAGGTTGACATAGACCCACTGACCGACCGGCTTCTCACGCGCCCGTGCCATCCATGTGTGCACGTCACATGCACATCCCTTCCGAGGCTGCTCATTTCCCCCCTTCCACCTCCTTCCATCTAATCCAATCCACAGGCAGGGTGGACATAGACCCACTGACCGACCGGCTTCTCACGTGCCCGTGCCATCCATGTATGCACATCCCTTCCTTGGCCCCTCATACCCACCCCTCCCTCTCTCCCCTCCCCCCAATCCACAGGCAAGGTTGACATAGACCCACTGACCGACCGGCTTCTCACGCGCCCGTGCCGCAACCCCTGTGGGGCTGGTATTGAGACGTGTATTGATGGGGCGTTTCAGAACTGCACTGCGCCCGTCCACGGGCCTGAAGTGTGAGTGGTGTGCAGGGATGGGGAGTGGTGTGCAGGGATGGGGAGTGGTGTGCGGAGGGGTTGGTGCATGGCACTGTCAGGGACTGTGAGTCGCCAGGACAAGAAGCAAGTTCTACACTTTATCCTTCCCAGTCCTTCACTCCCTTCTCCTCTCCAATGCTCTCTTGCCGTTCATCTTTTTCTCACTCCCCTCCTCTCCCCATTCAGCTGCAACGGGGTGGACGACAACTGTGACGGGCTCATCGACAACTCGCCCTCTCCAACCGCCGCTCGGCTCGACTGTGCCGACGGCTCCCTCTGCTTCAAGGGGCAGTGCCTGCCGTACGGCCCTCTCACCGCACCCGTCACAGTGATCAACAAGAGCGCTGCTGGCTGGCTGTACTACGATAAGGGGTACCTTCCGCAGTCCTACCCCACTTGGAGCACCAACAGGTGAGAGTGAGACCGTCGGACCATGGGAGAAAGGCAGCTTGGGACTGGATGTTACCTGTGCTTCAAGGGGCAGTGCCTGCCTTACGGCCCTCTCACCGCACCCGTCACAGTGATCAACAAGAGCGCTGCTGGCTGGCTGTACTACGATAAGGGGTACCTTCCGCAGTCCTACCCCACTTGGAGCACCAACAGGTGAGAGTGAGACCGTCGGACCATGGGAGAAAGGCAGCTTGGGACTGGATGTTACCTGTGCTTCAAGGGGCAGTGCCTGCCTTACGGCCCTCTCACTGTGCAGCTCACAGTGATCATGGTAGCGTCACCAACCTCTCGCAGCTCAACAGTGGTGACTCCGCCTACTTCCTCCTCAGGAGGAGCTCTCGCCCCAAAGCCCTCTCGCCCAGCCCACATCTTCCTGTCCCTTCCCCGCTTCCTTCCATTCCCCTCTGCCCCTCACAGCAACGTGCCAGCTCACCTACTCAAGGAGGGCGCAGCACCGTTTGGATTCAACTCAACATCGCCCACGGCCACCAACCTCTCTCTCGCAGCTCACCAGTGGTGCCTCTGCCTACTTCTTCCCCTCAAGTCCCACTCTCCCACTCTGCCACTCTCCCTTGCGCCCCTCTGCCCCTCTCCCTTGCGCCCCTCTGCCACTCTCCCTTGCGCCCCTCTGCCCCTCTCCCTTGCGCCCCTCTGCCCCTCTCCCTTGCGCCCCTCTGCCCCTCAACAGGAACGTGCCAGCGCATCTCGTGAAGGAAGGGGCAGCCCCGTTTGGCTTCAAATCAGCGACAGCCGCGGCCACCAACCTGTCGCAGCTCACCAGCCTCTCTCCCCTCTGCCCCTCTCTGCCTCCACAGCAACGTGCCAGCACGTCTGCTAAAGGAGGGAGCAGCACCATTCGGCTACAACTCAGCGTCCCCCACGGCCACCAACCTGTCACAGCTCACCAGTGGCGACTCCGCCTACTTCTTCCTCAAGAGCTTTGCTCTCACAGAGGAGGAGGCCAACAACACCTGGAGCTACTGTGGGTTGCCGCCCCTCCTTTACCTGCGTCTCTTTCTTACCTGCGCCTCTTTTCATTGATCAACTGCTTTATACCTCCACCCACGACCTGCTGTTGTGTTGACCCTACTTGCCTCTTCCTCAAGAGCTATGCGCTCACAGAGGAGGAGGTCAGCAACACCTGGAGCTACTGTGAGTTGCAATCTCTGGGTCCCACACCCCCCTCCTCCACTTTACTCCATCCTCCTCCGGTCATTTCCTCCTCTAGAGCCCTCTCTTTTGTTATGACTCTGCTTTTCTCTCTCAAGGGTTTCGCCCTCACAGAGGAGCAGGCTGACAATACCTGGTGCTCTGCGAGTCAGCACCCTGAACCCGTGGTCAACAACACCTGGTGCTCACAGTTGGTTCTTTCCTTCAAGCCATCAGGTTCACTCCCCTTCCAAGTCCTGTTGCCTCTTCCCACGTCTTCCTCAAGAGCTTGGGGCGCTCCCTTATCCCTTGGAACCACAGAGCACCACTGCATTTCCCCGCACCTCATCACAACCACATTCTCGTCTCCCACTTCCTTTCAACCCCTCGTGTCTCTCTCATCCTCACTTGCCCGGTCCTTCCCCACTCCCCCACAGCCGCGTCCGTCCAGAGGGATGACCGAGCAGTGCTGCTGATGAGTGGCGCCGAGTGTTCTTCCGCTCCAACATGCCTTTGACTCCCGCTTTCTCCCCTCTCTCCCCCATTCCCCCGCCTCCCCACACAGCTGCGTCCGTCCAGAGGGATGATGGTGCTGTCCTCCTGATGAACGGAGCCGAGTTTTTCCGCTCCAACATGCCTGCTGGCCCCATCACCTCTGCATCCTTTGCTGCCACCGGCACGTGGGGGGCCGACAAAACCACCTTCTTCAACAGCACGCCCTTCCGATCCATCGCGCAGTTCCTGCAGGTAACGTATATTGTTCCTGCAAGGTAACATGGTTGCTGCAGGCAGCAGGATCACTGCAGGTATCCACTTACTACTGCATGTGACACGGCACGTGGGGGGCCGACAAGATCACCTGTTTCAACTGCACGCCCTTCCGATCCATCGCGCAGTTCCTGCAGGTAATACCTTCCCTTGGGTGATCCATGACCGCCTTCTTCAATACCCGAACTGCAGCGGGTAGAGCCGTCGCTGCTGGTGCTGCTTCTCTCAGGTATAACACCAGTCACAGCTGTTCAAGCACACTCTCTCTCTGCTCCCCCTGCAATCCTCTTCCCCCTCCCTGTCGCTACCCCCCCAAACCCACCAGCCGGGCACCAAATGGGTGGGTGTGCAGCTGCACCAGTCACAGCAGCCGAAGCATCTGACCTTCGCCAATGCCCGGATGCACATCCCTTGCACCCTCTCCCTCACATACTTCTCTTCCCCCCATCGGCCGGGCACCAACTGGGTGGGAGAGCAGCTGCTTCAGTCGCGCTAGTCCAACCTTTTCCATGCGAATGCTCCATACCCATCCGTTGCCTCCTCTCCCTCCCATACTCCCCCTCTCCCCACCACCAGCCCAGAACCAACTGGGTGGGAGTGCAGCTGCATCAATCGCGCTGGTCCAGTGATGCCCTCACCATGCCATGCGCCCCTGCTCCCTCCCCACATGCCCCACACCCTCTCTTCCTGCTGTGCCTCCCATCTCAGCTGGGAACCAACTGGGTGGGAGTGCAGCTACATCAGTCACGCTGGTCCAGCGATGCCCTCTTCGATCTCGAGCTCACCCGCCACGCCATGCGCCCCTGTTCCGCCCTCGAAGGCTCGCCTGCTGCCTGTGTCCGCACACCCCCGGCTGACACTCTGCTGCTTGCGGTGAGATGCGACGCGCACAAACTTAGGATCAACTGGCTTGGCTTGTGCCATGTGCCATACGCCATGCCATGCGCCCCTGCTCCGCTCTCGGAGGCTCTCCTTCAGCGTGTGTGCGCACGCCCCCGGCTGACACTCTGCTGCTTGCGGTGAGATGCGACGCGCACAAACTTAGGATCAACTGGCTTGTGCCATGTGCCATACGCCATGCCATGCGCCCCTGCTCCGCTCTCGGAGGCTCTCCTTCAGCGTGTGTGCGCACGCCCCCGGCTGACACTCTGCTGCTTGCGGTGAGATATGATGCACACACACCTCGAGCTCACCCGCCACGCCATGCGCCCCTGCTCTGCTCTCAAAGGCTCTCCCTCTGCTTGTGTCCACACGCCCCCGGCTGACACCCTGCTGCTCGCGGTGAGAAGCGCACACACCTAAATCATAACCCGCATGTACCTTGCTGCCCTGCTCCGCCTCAACCGGTTACGATGGATGAGCTGCCATGTGCCACGCGCCATGCGCCATGTGACATCTGCCATGCGCCATGCACCATGTGCTATGTGCTATGTGCCATGCACCATGCACCATGCACCATGTGCCATCTCCCTGCTACTTCTCACACTCCCTCCGCTTTCCAACCCAACTTCTTTCCCTCTCCCTTCCCGCCTCTTCCCCTCCCCCTCTCTCCCTTCCTCTGCCCACCTTCCCTCCCTCCCCACCTTCCCTCCCTCCCTCCCTCCCTCCCTCCTTCCCTCCCTCCCTCCCTCCCTCCCTCCCTCCCTCCCTCCCTCCCTCCCTCCCTCCCTCCCTCCCTCCCTCCCTCCCTCCCTCCCTCCCTCCCTCCCTCCCTGCATGCAGCAAGGGTCCACATGGGCCTACAACGACGCCTCCCTGCCACCGCCCAACCCTGACACTTGGTTCCTGCCCTCCTTTGATGACTCTGCATGGCTCAAAGGTGCGTCTCAGAGACTAGAACGATACATGCCAACTGCCCTTCCCTCACTCCCTGCCTTTACCCCCTGACACCTGGTACCATTTTTTAGGCGCCTCAAAACCGCGAGTCATGAGACGATTTTTGAGGCGCCTCAAAAAAAGTTGCTCCCCTCGTTTGATGACTCTGCATACCTCAAAGGTGCGTCTTAGAGCAGCAGGGCAGCGTGCCCCACCAGCCTCACCCTCAACAGCACCACCACCGCTCCCACCACTCCTAGCACCTCCTCCACCACTGCCCGGCCCGCACGGCACACTACTTCCACCGCGCCTTCACTGTCACCGATGCTGCCTCGCTGCCTGTCACGTGGCCCTCACTTCTTCCTTCCTGCCCTCCCTCCCCCCTCTCCACCCAGGCCCCGCGTCCCTAGCAGCGGGCAACAGGGCGGGCACCAACCTCACTCTCAACAGCACCACCAGTACCAGCAGCACCCCCATCACTTCTTCACCCCTTTCCTCCCTTTTCCCCGCTCCCTTCCCCTTTCCCCACCACCCAGGCCCCGCGCCCCTAGCAGCGGGCAACAACAGGGCGGGCACCAACCTCACTCTCAACAGCACCACCAGCGGCTCACGAGTGGCACACTACTTCCGCCGCGCCTTCACTGTCACCGATGTTGCCTGGCTACCTGCCACGTCACCCTCATTCTTTCCCCCCCTCCCCTCCCCTTTCCCCACCACCCAGGCCCTGCACCCCTAGCAGCGGGCAACAACAGGGCGGGCACCAACCTCACCCTCAACAGCACCACCAGCGGCTCACGAGTGGCACATTATTTCCGCCGCGCCTTCACTGTCACCGATGCTGCCTGCCACGTGGCCCTCACCGTCTCCTTCAACATTGCTGATGGCGCTGTGAGTGCTCCTCGCATCGATGCTCACATTTATGCCCTCCTATTGCCTTCACTGTCACCGATGCTGCCTGCCACGTGGCTCTCACCGTCTCCTTCAACATCGCTGATGGCGCCGTGAGTGCTTGCATCAGTGCTTGCGTCAGTGGATGGGTGTGCTTTCAGCTGTGCCAGTAGCTCGGTCCTAAGCCCACGCCTGTGCCATCTTATTGCCTTCACTGTCACCGATGCCGCCTGCCACGTGGCCCTCACCATCTCCTTCAACATCGCTGATGGCGCTGTGAGTGCTCAGTGCTTGCTCCAGTGCTCGTGTCAGGGTGCATGGGTGTGCTTTCAGCTCTGTCCCGCCAGCCAGCTGGGCACTGTGCGCCATATCTGTGCCTTGCTGTTGACTCTCACTGCTGTGCTCTCTGCTGTGTGCCTCTCACATTCTCCCTCAACGTCACTGACGCCGCTGTGAGCTTTCCTGCCCGTTACCACTCCCATTTCATCTTCCCGCCCACACCACACCTGTCCTCCTGTCCACCCGTGCCCACATTTCTGCCCACATCTCTGCACCTGCCCACATTCTTCCACACCTGTCCACCCGTGACACTCTTCCTCTCTGCTCTCCTTGCCCTTACATCTCCCCACTCTTCCCCCCTTCTTACCCCTATCCCCCTTTTCCCCCCCTTCCCACCTCCCCCTCTCGGGTGGTGTATCTGAATGGCGTCGAGGCATAACGCTTCCAGATGCTTTTCGAGACGTCTCAAATCTATCTCTCCCTCCCCCACACACCCCCCACTTCCCCCCCTGGCTTTAACCCCCATCAGGTGGTGTACCTGAACGGGGTCGAGGCGTACCGCTTCCAGATGCCGCCCCCCTCATGGGGCCCGGTCACGCCGGCCACCAACGCCACGGGCGGCTATGTGTGGCGGTGGGTGCCGTCCGTCCTGTCGGGTGGGTGGCTGCAGCAGGGGGCGAATGTGATCGCGGTGGAGGTGCATCAGCAGAGGAGCACCAACACTCTGCTCACGTTTGACGTGCAGGTTACCAGCAAGAGGGAGGCCATTGCCTGCACTCCTGCCCCACAGTAATACTCTGCTCACGTTTGGTCGTGAGAATTCTCAAAAAGGACCTACAAAGAAATGGATGCAGCAGGGGGCGAATGTGTTGGCAGTGGAGGGAAGGTGCATCAGCAGCAGAGCAATGAGGACCAACACTCTGCTCCCGTTTGGGGCGCGGGCTACCATCAAGAGAGAGGGCATTGCGTCCACCCCTGCCCCGCTGTAGCCTCTGATGCTATGATGATTCTGTAGAGATGCTACTGTTCATTTTGTACAATACGTGTAATATTTGTCGGAGAAACCCCTCTTGCGTTACCTGCTTCTGTCCTTGTACTCCTGCTTCTTTCTCCTTCTCACCCTTGCATCTATCTTGTCCCTGTCCCCTGGTTCCCTTCTTCGTACTCAGCCACTACCATGAGAGATTCTGGCTCCCACACGATGGCTGCCCTTAGTGGCCTAGTCACCTAGCTGCTGTAGCGTTAGAACGGCAACGTAAATCCACTATTTTAGGCAAACAAACGAGAGAACAGGGATGCGATTGCTACCCTAGGCTACTTTATTCACCCTCACCCGTGTTGCCAATTTCTTGGCGAGTGAATTAGGCTCGAGTCGCCTGGGCCTTGGATTGGCCGATCCTGATTTCCTGTCTCTCGAGGCTTTCTGAATCCAACCCCTTTGTACCCAGCAGTGCCCTATTCTACCAACTTCACGTCACCCTCCAGAACCCAACCAACCCTCGCTGAAACTGAATACTACAAGCTACACCCCTCTACACCTCACAAGCATGTAACAGAACATAATGCTTTTACCTTCATGTTCTGTGACAGCTGTCAGAGAAACCCCTCTTGCGTTACCTGCTTCTGTCCTTGTACTCCTGCTGCTTTCTCCTTCTCACCCTTGCATCTATCTTGTCCCTGTCCCCTGGTTCCCTTCTTCGTACTCAGCCACTACCTGCCCCCTCCTGTGCTCGTGCTCAAGCCGCTCGGGCCCGAGACACAGGACTTCCCAGCTGAGGACGGCTGCTCTTCATCCGTGCCTTGTGGGTCTGGTTCCTGCCACGGTCAGCTCTCTCTTCGTCTTCTCCAGCTCCAGTACTCCCACACTTCGCCCCGCTTGCACCCGCCCCCTCTTCTGTTGTCCTCCTTTGTCCGTCTCTGTCCGCCCTGCCCCTACAGCCTCTTCTGTCCCCCTGCCACCCAGCTGCTGCCGGTGTTCATAGCTGCACGCATCCCCCATCTGCACCACATGTAGGTCCTCCACCAATGCCATTATCACTTCCTTCAGGTGTCCTACTGCCTTGCCTCCCTCCCAGGCCGCCCACTTCTCAGCCTCTTCCATTCCCCTGGATTCTGACAGCACCTGGGATGCTAGCCGCATCGGCTCATCTGCCCATGTTCCTCCCTTAATCCACCTTACCGTCTTCACGGCCTCTTCTGCTTCCTGACTCGTCGCATTTTCCATTGTATGCTGCCTTTCTTCCCCCACAGGCAGGCACTCCCATGCCCCCACTTCCTTGCTCTCCCTCTCTGCTTCCTCTTGCTCCTGGGCTTTGTCCCACACTGGACCTTCCCATCCTCCTACCCGTAGGTCTCCTGTCCCCCAGTCGCACGCCATCCCTACTTTTATGCTCCTCACACCCGTCTCAGCTCCTCTCACGGCTTCTTTTACCATTTTCTCCCCCAGCAGCTCCGGACGTTCTTCCCTCAGCTTCCTCACATGCTGCTCCGCCCTCATACTTCCCTGCACTTGCTTCTCTGCCTTTAGTACACACGGTCGTGCCCCCACCTTCTCGTCCTTCCGTTCTGCCTCTGCTACTGCAGGTACACACGCTCCCGCCCCCACCTGCTCTTCCTTTTCCTCTGCCTTCGCTGCTGCTGTTACACACACACCCGCCCCCACCTTCTCGTCCTTTTCTTCTGCTTCCGCTGCTGCTGTTACACACGCTCCTGCCCCCACTTGCTCGTCCTTCTCCTCTGCTTCTGCTGCTGCTGGTGCACACACCCATGCCCCCACTTGCTCGTCCTTCTCCTCTGCTTCTGCTGCTGCTGGTGCACACTCCCATGCCCCCACCTGCTCGTCCTTTTCTTCCGCACCGGCTGCTACCAGTTCACACGCCCCTGCCCCCTCCTTCTCGTCCTTCTCCTCCCCTTCTGCTGCTGCCCATGCCCCCACCTTCTCGTCCTTCCCTTCCGCGCCTACCGCTACCGGTTCATCCGCCCATGCCCCCACCTTCTTGTCCTTTTCTTCCGTTTCTGGTGTTACTTGCACACACACCCATGCCCCCACCTTACTCACTTGCTTCCTTCGTCCGTCCCTGCCCCCACTGCTCCACCCCAGGTTTTCATGGCGGCGCAGCACCGCACAGGAGTGCTCTGGCTCATGCTCCTCTTCCTCCTCTTCCTCTTCCCTCGCGTACACTCCTGGTTCTTTCTCCTTCTTGCCTCCCAAAGCCTGCAGCTGAGCCCGCAGCCTTCCTATCTGTGCTTCTATCTCCTCTTGTGACCTCCTTGCTCCCCCAGTCCTCTTATAGCAGTCCTTCTGCTGATGCCCCCTCTTCCCACACACTTCACAGGTTGGCGCATCAGGGCAGTTCTGACGGCGGTGCCCTGGTTTCCCACACACGTCGCAGTTCGTGCAATTCAATCTTACATGTCCTGGCTGTCCACACCTGTAGCAGGTCTTCGTGTCTGTCCTTCTCTCATATTGCTGCTCCTCTCCGCCTCCCACCCCCGGTATCATTGCTGCCGCCCAGGTGGGTCGCATCTTCTCAGCCACTGTTGGCAGGTATGCCTCATAACGCCTCTATGCCAGCTCCACCTTTTCTGTTAGCTCAAACACTTCCTCCAGGCTTGCTTCTGCCCCCAGCTCGTACACTCTCATTTTCAGTCCTCCGGCCAGCCCGTCGTCCAATCCTGCCAGGAACTTACTAATCAGCATGCTGCTGTCGGTACACACCACATCCTCGGCCAGGTTCATGAGCCGCCCATAATACGTCAGCAACGACTCATCCTTCCTGCGTTTGAAGTCCTGAAACTCCCTGATTCGCGCTGCCGTGTGTCCTGGGAATTGCTTGCGCAACCGCTCCAGGAACAGTGACGTAGGGTCGTCCCCATCCTCCTCTGCCCTCCTCAGCCACTCATGCATCTTCATGCGATACAATGTTTCTGCTTCCCCACCCAAAGTGTTCGGCAAACTCAAAAAGAAGTCGATGGGGTCCATCCCACTCCGATCGCACCTGTACTTGACATTCCCAATTTGCATCAGATAATTCTTTAGATTAGTGCTTGTCCCTCCATTCCCCGTGAAACGCACTGGCACCTCTACTTGTGGTGGCGCCTGCATGCCCCATCTCCCTGAGTCCCAGGTTCCCGTTGCTCCTCGCTCCGCGCGGCTAACTTCTCCTCTGTGCTCCCTCATTCCCCTGCTGCCTGTGCTTGTCCCACACAGCACCCTGTCTATCCCTTCTCTAGCACCTCTGGCTTCGCTAGATCCTTCTCCTGTCTGCCGTGGCCTCCTGGGGCCCCTCGGACTCGGACTCCTTCTCTGCTCCTCCTCGTGAGCCTCTCTTCGCCCGCCTGCTTCCCCCCATCGCCTTTCTCTCCTCTCAGGCGAATAATCCTGGAATCGCCCTTCTCGCTTCCTCCTTTCCCGCTGCTGCTGGTCCTCTCTCTCACGAAACTCTCTCCGTTCTTCTTGCCTGCTCCTAAGCCCTTCTCTCCTTCCAGGGATATATTCTTCCCAGCTTTCCTTCCTTTGTCTTGATCCATGGCGTGCCCGCCTGTCACTCTCTTCCTCTTCCCCGCTCTCTGTTTCATACTTGTGCATCCCCTCCCGTCGCATGTGCTGCTTGTCACCTCTCTTCCTCTGTCCGCTCAGGTCCTGCTTCTCCCTCACCCCCGCTCCAGGTTCCATTCGCCCTTCTCGCCTTCCCCTGTACCCCTCTCTTTCTTCAGGGCATGACTTCTTCTCCCGCCACTCCGGCTTCCCGCGTCGGCGCCGTTCCAGATCATACCCATAGTCCTCTTCTTCGCTGTACTCATGTTCCTTCTCTTCACGCAGCTCCTCATCACTCCTTCTCATCTTCTCCCTCCACTCCTTCCTCTCAAGGGACTCTCCTTCACAACGTCTCCCTCGTCCGCCTGCTCCTCGGCGCTCATGATCCTCTCTTCCTCTTCCTTTGTCACTTCCCGGGTCCTTCCCTGGGGACACCTCTCGCCAGCAGCGCTCTTCCTCACCCCTTCTCCTGTTTATCTCTCTCTCCTGCCTCCCCCTTGCCTCTCCGACAGGATCCTGCACCAACCCCGCTCCCGCGCATGGGTACTCGTCTACTCCGTTCCGGTGTGTTCTCGCATCTGCACCCGTGATGTACTGCCACCAACACACACTGCCGTTAACACGTGCTTCCCTCTCCTCCGTCCGCTGCCGTGCACGTGAGCGCCGCGCGCGCCTCCTCTCGTTGGCGTGCTCACTTCCTTCTCCCCCTTGCTCTGGTGATCGCCATCCGCCCAACGCCATGCGCCTCCTGCGCTCATGTCCGCGTCTTGGCTCAGGCGAGCTAGACACTCCCGCCTGCACGTCCCGCCTCCTTTCTTCCTCACGGCTGGCTCCTGGCGCGCGCTCAGTCTCCTTGCCTTCACCGCGCCTCGCGTTACTTCCGCGCAGCCTGCCTGGCGAGCGATCCGCATCCGCGCTCCCGCGGCGCCTTGCGCCATTCTCAGGCATTTCGCCCGCCGAACTGTCTGCATCCGTGCTCCCGCGGCGCCTTGCGCCATTCTCAGGCATTTTGCCCGCCGAACTGTCTGCATCCGTGCTCCCGCAGTGTCTCGTGTCATTCCCACGCATTCCGTCAGTCGAACCGGCTGCATCCGCACCCCCGCGGCGCCTCGCACCCCCGCGCATTTCGCCAGCAGAACGATCTGCATTCATGCTCCCGCGGCGCCTCGCACTTCCCTCGCGCATCTCTTCTCGCACGCGATCTGCTGCCATGTCCTCGTGGCGCCGCGCGCCACCCCCGCGCATCTCGTTCGCCGAACGATCTTCTTCCATTACACATCCGCGTGTTTCGCGTCCATCTCTGCCATCGCTTTGCAGATCGTCCTCTTTCGCATCCGCCTGTTCTTCTCCGCGGCGCCTCGCGCCATTCCCACCCATTTCGTTTTCGTCCGTCGCACCAGCTGCATCCCCGCTGCCATGAAGCCTTTCGCCACTCCCATCTGTTTCGTCCGTCGCACCAGCTGCATCCGCGCTCTCGCGGCGCCTCGCGCTTCCCTTGCGCCTGTCGTCCGGCGAGCAATCCGCCGCCGTGTTCCCTCGACACCTCACTCTGCCTTCTTCACACATCCCCTCTAATGCAGGATCTTTTTCCGCGTCGCTATTACGCTCTTCTGCACCTCGATTCTGCAGATCTGCCTCCTCCCTGCCTAGACGTTGTTCCCCGCCGCCCCGCGCAGTGGTGACACCTTCGCAATCTCCCTCGTCGTCAGCCTTCCTTGCTGATTCCGGCAAGTCCGTCATATCCGCGTCGTCATGACGCCCTTCTCCCGCTCCTTGCTGGCCACCTGCCAGATTCCAAGGATCAGTTCCGGACGTACGAGGCCTGGGCTCCGCCTTCGCATGCGGATCGCCCTGGCTTCCTCCTCGTCGCCCTCGTATGGGTGAGCCCCCATCCGCGCGGTACGCCGTCCTCCGTGGCGAACGCGTCCGCGATCTCCCGCGCTCCAATGAGCGCATCCTCCGCGACGGTGAAAACTCCCGACGCGAGTCCATCTGCTGCCAACACAGCTCGTGGCAGTCCATACCGCCAAAGCTGTTCTCTCGTTTGTGAGAGATTCTGGCTCCCACACGATGGCTGCCCTTAGTGGCCTAGTCACCTAGCTGCTGTAGCGTTAGAACGGCAACGTAAATCCACTATTTTAGGCAAACAAACGAGAGAACAGGGATGCGATTGCTACCCTAGGCTACTTTATTCACCCTCACCCGTGTTGCCAATTTCTTGGCGAGTGAATTGGGCTCGAGTCGCCTGGGCCTTGGATTGGCCGATCCTGATTTCCTGTCTCTCGAGGCTTTCTGAATCCAACCCCTTTGTACCCAGCAGTGCCCTATTCTACCAACTTCACGTCACCCTCCAGAACCCAACCAACCCTCGCTGAAACTGAATACTACAAGCTACACCCCTCTACACCTCACAAGCATGTAACAGAACATAATGCTTTTACCTTTATGTTCTGTGACATATTGTAGGATACCTTAGGTAGGTCATTTCTTTTATTGTATGATTGCGAATTCCGTACCAATGGAGCTTATGCTGGCTGGCACTGTACACGACATAAAATACCGTACTTTGTTTGCGGAAAGCCCATGAGTAAAGCTTTTGCTTCATTTCTTCAACTAGCATCAATAACGTGTTACCCTCCACAACCTATTGTCACTCTCAAAGCGAGCCATGAGGGTTCAATGCTCATGCTTATTTGGCATGGCAAACATCTGTTGCTGAGGGCAGTTCACCTCCAGTTTGCTGGCTCGTGCTTATTTGGCGGTAGTTGCTGACAGTCTTGAGAGCTCCTCTGCAAGGGGTGTGGTGGATGGGATGTATACAATACAGAGGGAAGAGCATATCAGGACTTACAAAGGACGACAAGGAAACAGGGATGTACCATAGAGATTAAAAGCAGGCCAAAAGACGCGTGACAAAAAGGAAAAACGGGAAAAGGTGCAGGCAGGATATGAACCTCCATTACTAATTCTTCCTACCTTGCTTCTTCTCCTTAAGCGTACTGCTGTCGGTGAGGAAAAAGATAGCGCCACGCTTCTGATAAGCAGCCTGCGAAAACATGGCACCATCTTTTTAAAAAGCAGTCTGTTGATAGTAGGGGAATTAAGAGGGAATAGCAGCCTAATCAGTCACTGCGCAAACAAAGAGTCTGACCCATTTCATTGGTGATTTCTATTTTTCCATGAACTATGCACAGCTGAGGATAGCAGGACAAGGGTACGTACCCGGCCAGAAGGCGACTTTTGAGGCGCCTCAAAACTGAGCACAACGAGACGAGGAGGTACGTACCCGGCCAGAAGGCAATGAGGAGAGCTCAGCACAAGCCACCTGCAGTTCCTGCACCTGCTGAGGTAATGATACAGAGGGTATCTATAAGAATGCTTTATTTTGCGAAATCAAATTATAAGAACGCTTTCTTTTGTTCTAATCCAAGCAGAATTGTCGATTGAGCTGAGCAAACCTAGAAAGGAATTGTTACAGAAACGCACAGAAACAGCGGAGATCGCAGAAGCAGGGAGTAGAGTAATACCTTCACGTTCAGCTCCTTCTGATGTTGTGGGGTGCTTGCCATACTGAGAAGCAAGGTTGGATCGGCAGACTCTAGTAAACCCTCTGAGGGAGGGAGGTCAGTGGCTACCAAAGATTTCTGCTCACCATTGAAAGGCGGGAAGGAAATGCAATTGAAGGAGGGGAATCGTGATGACGGGGCGCCCAGAGGAATCCACGTGTACCTCGAGAGCCCCTCAAGAAAAGGGAGTGCAACAACCACTGATATCATGTCACACCACAGACACGACGTAATAACTAATGGTTATTCACGCTGCAAGGGAGGTAATGGTGGGTGGTTGGTTCGGCTGCACGCTGAGTGGGTGGTTGGAAGTTCCAAAGTTCCAAAACAATAAACCATGTGCTTGAAAGGAGATATGACTTCTATACAGATGTCCCTCACCGAAATGAGCAGCAAGAGGCAACCCTTAACAAGGTGGGGAAGGGAGCTCACAAGTCCTTCAGCCTTGGAAGACAAAATTCAGAGGCTTGGCAGTGGTGTTGGCACTCAAAACACTGCCATGAAGTGGGGCGAATGAGGCAGGGTGAAGGGCAGCGGAATAGTGAGGGAATAACAGTGGAACAGTGGGCGAAGGGCAGTGGAACATGAGGGAAGAGCAGTGGAACAGAAGGGGAACGGCAGTGGAAGATTGAGGAATGGGGAGTAGCGGGGGTAAGGGGAGCTCGCGCATTGAGATTGCATCCGCTAGGGAAAGTGGGGTTGAGGGTTGTTCATTAAAGACGCTAACTGAGTGGACAGCATGATATTTTTCAGAGACGGGACTCAGAACAACTAACTTCACACAAAATCCGCAGCCATGAATTGACACCACGGCACCTACTTGGCGCTCCGTCGCATGCGGAGGTGCGCTCGACAGCAGGAAACTAGAGGGGAACTTGCTTCGAGCCGCTTCAGAAAAAGAACTATTCTAGACAGGAACGCGGAGCCAAAATGGCTCGACGGCTCGCAGTGGCGGATGTCCCCGCACTCTGGTAAGATGCGTATGGGCAATCGCCTAAGTCACGCTCACTCGCGCGTCTTGCTTGTTTCGGTGGCCAATAATTTGACACTCCAGTACTTGGTTGCGCGAGACTCGTCAGGGCTTTTCAGGGATCGTCAACCCTAAGATTCCGACCTGATCTAGTTGTGCTCAGATAGCCAGCGACACTCTCGCTGCTCAAGCGCGCCGCGCGATACCCTCTAGCCATGGATTGGCACTGCTGACTGTTGATGTTTTGCGTCCTGTTGTTGTGATTCCTTCCCCACTCTCGCAGAGAGCACACAAACATTGTGCGAACTTCGTGAGATGGGCTGAACGACAACTTCAGTAACCAGAGAGGTACGCGACACTCGGTTAACAATTTCGACACTTCACAACCTCGCGTACCAATCGCGTCGGTCCGACCAAACAACGAATGTCCAAATAGCCTTTGGAACTCGTTGAAGGGGTTCACTGGGTGGAGTGGACTCCACCCACATGCCTATGCTCTCAGATTCGCAAGCCACATTTCCCAGCGAGCTACAGTGGAGTGCTAGCGCGGGTGAAACTCTGACAGCTTCAGGGTAGATTCTAGGTTCCAGTTTCACAAGCCAGTCGTTTAGCAACTTAACTAGAGCCATGGGCCGGTTCGCGTGGATTCTCATCGCGCTCTTCGCCCTCCTATCAGCTACGTCCACGTCAGCGCTTGTCTTCACGCTGCTCAAACGCGAGTGCTTCCAGCATTTCGTGCCGAAAGGCGGCGAGACCGTCCACGTGTCGTTCGTCGTGATCAAATCAGATTACAACTGGGGAGGCGGGGAGCAGGCGAAAATCGATTTAACGGTAAACAGCCACTAGGATCTGCTCATCATGACGCAATAGTAGGTCGAATCTTCTCATCCATTCTCACAGAAAGCATCGACGAAACAAGACTCGAAGCCCTCTTTCGGAGCGTGGCTTTCGAAGTCATCGTCGTCGCGCACACACCCGTCAGGTGTTTTGAGACTTCTAGACTTCTTAGGTTTTGCTCATCGTGCACACACGCGTCAGGTGTTTTGAGACTTCTAGACTTCTTAGGTTTTGCTCATCGTGCACACACGCGTCAAGTGGAGGCCTTTCGTCGTATGTTCCTCTCTAATTCGTTGGAATTCTCATGTGGAGGACCCCCAGGAGACACGCGGTTCGGATCATTGCTGCTGGTCGCGTGCTCAAACCACCAGGTGGAGACCTCAGGGGCCACGTGGTGCGGAAGGAAAAGGCGAGGAGGCAACGTAAAGGCACTTTGACCTCGCCGTTGTGCACCCTCCTCCCCTCCTCTCCCCTCGCCTCCTCCCCCCTCCTCTTCCCCGCCTCCTTCGTGAATTCTACGACCCAAGGTGGAGGATCCCCAAACCACGAGGTACGGAAGGTGGAGGCGACGTGTTTCTTTGCCCCCTTCTCCTACTTCGGCGCTCCTCCATTCTCCCCCCACCCCTCCCCCGTGAATGCGACCGCCAGGTGGAGGACCCAAGGGGCCACGTGCTGCGCAAGATAGAGGCGAGGACGGACGACAACTTCATGGTCACTGCTGCCGTTGACGGCTTCTTCAAGTTCTGCTTTACGACTGACTCCGCTGTGCACGAATCCGTGGCGTTCGATGTGGAGAACGGCCACCCAATCACCACTGAACACGTGGCAAAGAATGGTGAGGCGACAATGAAAAAGGGGGCACATTGCAAAGAAAGTTGAGTTAACAATAGTAAATGGGAAATATGGCAAAGACCAATAATCTAGCAATGGGGCAACAAAGAGTGGCTCTTTATTTGAGTGCAATGCTTGGGGGCCAGGTCTCAAGTTTTTCAGGCTCGTATGTGGCCCTTCTTGTATGTGCGCACCAAGCATGCCAATCCCTGCAACTGAGCGGCTCTTACTCACACATGCCCCGTCTCTCTCCTCTGTTCTTGCCCGTGCGTCTGTCCTATGCGGTCGCTCATGCCTCTGTGCTTGCTATTCTTGTGTGCATGCCCGTGCCTCTGCATGTGCATGCGAGCAGATCAAATCGAGCCACTGGTGAAGGAGGTGCATCGGCTGCAGAGGGAGGTGATGCGCACCAAGCATGAGATCCACTACTCCTTCTACCTCGCCGAGCAGCATGCAGAGGGTGAGTGGCATTGTGGCAGTGCTTCTGGGGTTTTTCTAGGTAGCACGGGTTGGTTTGAGGGGTGGATGGGCATGATTGCAGCACGAGGAGGGAGGGAGGTGATGCGCACCATGGATGGGATCCACTACTCCTTCTACCTCGCCGAGCAGCATGCAGAGGGTGAGAGAGTGGTAGCACGGCAAGATGAGGATCTTGATAGCAGGGGGTTGCGTTGAGGGTTTACGTGCGCCATTTCTGCACAGGGAGAGGTGATGCACACCAAGCATGGGATCCACTGCTCCTTCTACCTCGCGGAACAGCATGTAGAGGGTGCGTGGCGTGGTGGGGGTTTGAGGCACAAAGAGAGGGAGAGCAGCACACAGAGGGCGATTGGCACTGAGTGGAGGTGGTTTGAATAAGGAAAGAGCAGCACATAGAGAATGACTGGCCATGCTCCTGCCTATGCTCGTACCTATGCTCCTTCCTATGCTCGTACCTATGCTCGTGCCTATGCTCGTACCTATGTTCGTGCCTATACTCGTACCTATGCTTGTACCTATGTTCGTGCCTATGCTCGTACCTATGCCTATGCCTATGCTCGTACCTATGCTCATGCCTGTGCTCGTCGTACCTATGCTGGTGCCTATGCTTGTACCTATGCTCGTACCTATGCTCGTGCCTGTGCTCGTACCTATGCTCGTGCCTGTGCTTGTACATATGCTCCTGCCTATGCTCGTACCTATGCTCGTACCTATGCTCGTGCCTGTGCTCATCGTACCTATGCTCGTACCTGTGCTCATACCTATGCTCGTACCTATGCTCGTACCTATGCTCGTGCCTATGCTCGTACCTATGCTCGTACCTATGCTCATGCCTATGCTCGTACCTATGCTCGTACCTATGCTCGTACCTATGCTCGTACCTATGCTCGTACCTATGCTCGTGCCTGTGCTCGTATCTATGCTCCTGCCTATGCTCGCACCTATGCTCCTGCCTATGCTCGTACCTATGCTCCTGCCTATGCTCGTACCTATGCTCATACCTATGCTCCTGCCATGCTCGTACCTATGCTCGTGCCTATGCTCGTACCTATGCTCGTGCCTGTGCTCGTACCTATGCTCGTGCCTGTGCTCGTACCTATGCTCCTGCCTATGCTCGTACCTATGCTCGTACCTATGCTCGTACCTATGCTCGTACCTATGCTCGTGCCTATGCTCGTACCTATGCTCGAACCTATGCTCGTGCCTATGCTCGTACCTATGCTTGTACCTATGCTCGTACTTATGCTTGTACCTATGCTCGTACCTATGCTCGTACCTCTGCTCGTGCCTGTGCTCGTATCTATGCTCCTACCTATGCTCGTACCTATGCTCCTGCCTATGCTCTTACCTATGCTCGTACCTATGCTCGTACCTATGCTCGTGCCTGTGCTCGTGCCTATGCTCGTGCCTGTGCTCGTACCTATGCTCCTGCCTATGCTCGTACCTATGCTCGTACCTATGCTCGTACCTATGCTCGTACCTATGCTCGTGCCTATGCTCGTACCTATGCTTGAACCTATGCTCGTGCCTATGCTCGTACCTATGCTTGTACCTATGCTTGTACTTATGCTTGTACCTATGCTCGTACCTATTCTCGTACCTCTGCTCGTGCCTGTGCTCGTATCTATGCTCCTGCCTATGCTCGCACCTATGCTCGTGCCTATGCTCGTGCCTGTGCTCGTACCTGTGCTCGTACCTATGCTCGTGCCTATGCTCGTACCTATGCTCGTACCTATGCTCGTACCTATGCTCCTACCTATGCTCGTACCTATGCTCGGACCTATGCTCGTGCCTGTGCTCGTATCTATGCTCTTGCCTATGCTCGCACCTATGCTCCTGCCTCAGCTCGTGCCTGTGCTCGTACCTATGCTCGTACCTATGCTCGTGCCTGTGCTCGTATCTATGCTCCTGCCTATGCTCGTACCTATGCTCGTACCTATGCTCGTGCCGGTGCTCGTACCTATGCTCGTACCTATGCTCGTACCTATGCTCGTACCTATGCTCGTACCTATGCTCGTACCTATGCTCATGCCTATGCTCGTACCTATGCTCGTACCTATGCTCGTACCTATGCTCGTACCTATGCTCGTACCTATGCTCGTGCCTATGCTCGTATCTATGCTCGTACCTATGCTCCTGCCTATGCTCGTACCTATGCTCATACCTATGCTCCTGCCTATGCTCGCACCTATGCTCCTGCCTATGCTCGTACCTATGCTCCTGTCTATGCTCGTACCTATGCTCATACCTATGCTCCTTCCTATGCTCGTACCTATGCTCGTGCCTATGCTCGTACCTATGCTCGTGCCTGTGCTCGTGCCTGTGCTCGTACCTATGCTCGTACCTATGCTAGCACCTATGCTCGTACCTATGCTCGTATGCTCGTGCCTATGCTCGTACCTATGCTCGTACCTATGCTCGTGCCTATGCTCGTACCTATGCTCGTCCCTATGCTCGTACTTATGCTCGTACCTATGCTCGTACCTATGCTCGTGCCTGTGCTCGTATCTATGCTCCTACCTATGCTCGCACCTATGCTCGTGCCTATGCTCGTGCCTGTGCTCATACCTATGCTCGTGCCTGTGCTCGTCGTACCTATGCTCGTGCCTATGCTTGTACCTATGCTAGTACCTATGCTCGTGCCTGTGCTCGTACCTATGCTCGTGCCTGTGCTTGTACCTATGCTCCTGCCTATGCTTGTACCTATGCTCGTACCTATGCTCGTGCCTGTGCTCATCGTACCTATGCTCGTACCTGTGCTCGTACGTATGCTCGTACCTATGCTCGTACCTATGCTCGTACCTATGCTCGTACCTATGCTCGTACCTATGCTCGTGCCTATGCTCGTACCTATGCTCGTACCTATGCTCGTGCCTATGCTCGTACCTATGTTCGTACCTATGCTCGTACCTATGCTCGTACCTATGCTCGTGCCTGTGCTCGTATCTATGCTCCTGCCTATGCTCGCACCTATGCTCCTGCCTATGCTCGTACCTATGCTCCAGCCTATGCTCGTACCTATGCTCATACCTATGCTCATACCTATGCTCGTACCTATGCTCGTGCCTATGCTCGTACCTATGCTCGTGCCTGTGCTCATACCTATGCTCGTGCCTGTGCTCGTACCTTTGCTCCTGCCTATGCTCGTACGTATGCTCATACCTATGCTCGTACCTATGCTCGTACCTATGCTCGTGCATGTGCTCGTACCTATGCTCGTGCCTGTGCTCGTACCTATGCTCGTGCCTGTGCTCGTGCCTATGCTCGTACCTATGCTCCTGCCTATGCTCATACCTATGCTCGTACCTATGCTCGTACCTATGCTCGTACCTATGCTCGTACCTATGCTCGTACCTATGCTCGTACCTAACGAGCACAGGCAAGAGCATAGGCAGGAGCATAGATGCGAGCATAGGCAGGAGCATCGATACCAGCACAGGCACGAGCATAGGTACGAGCACAGGCACAAGCATAGGTACGAGCATAGGTACAAGCATAGGTACGAGCATAGGTACAAGCATAGGTACGAGCATAGGTACAAGCATAGGCAGGAGCATAGGTACGAGCATAGGTGTGAGCACAGGCACGAGCATAGGTACGAGCACAGGCACGAGCATAGGTACGAGCATAGGTACGAGCATAGGTACGAGCATAGGTACGAGCATAGGTACGAGCATAGATACGAGCACAGGCACGAGCATAGGTACGAGCATAGGTACGAGCATAGGTACGAGCACAGGCACGAGCATAGGTACGAGCACAGGCACGAGCATAGGTACGCGCATAGGTACGAGCATAGGTACGAGCATAGGTACGAGCATAGGTACGAGCACAGGCACGAGCATATGCAGGAGCATAGGTACGAGCATAGATACGAGCACAGGCACGAGCATAGGTACCAACATACGTACGAGCATAGGCACGAGCATAGGTACGAGCATAGGCATGAGCATAGGTACGAGCATAGGTACGAGCACAGGCACGAGCATAGGCAGGAGCATAGGTGCGAGCATAGGCAGGAGCATAGATACGAGCACAGGCACGAGAATACGTACGAGCATAGGTACGAGCACAGGCACGAGCATAGGTACGAGCAGCTCGTACCTTTGCTCGTACCTATGCTCCTTCCTATGCTCGTACCTATGCTCGTACCTATGCTCGTGCCTATGCTCGTTCCTATGCTCGTGCCTGTGCTCGTACCTATGCTCATGCCTATGCTTGTACCTATGCTCGTACCTATGCTCGTACCTATGCTCGTGCCCGTGCTCGTACCTATGCTCGTGCCTGTGCTCGTACCTATGCTCGTACCTATGCTCGTACCTATGCTCGTACCTATGCTCGCACCTATGCTCGTACCTATGCTCGTACCTCTGCTCGTACCTATGCTCGTACCTATGCTCGTACTTATGCTCGTGCCTGTGCTCGTACCTATGCTCGTACCTATGCTCGTGCGTGTGCTCGTAGCTATGCTCGTACCTATGCTCGTGCCTGTGCTCGTCGTACCTATGCTGGTGCCTATGCTTGTACCTATGCTCGTACCTATGCTCGTGCCTGTGCTCGTATCTATGCTCCTGCCTATGCTCGCACCTATTCTCCTGCCTTTGCTCGTTCCTGTGCTCGTACCTATGCTCGTACCTATGCTCGTGCCTGTGCTCGTACCTATGATCGTGCCTATGCTCGTACCTATGCTCGTACCTATGCTCGTACCTATGCTCGTGCCTGTGCTCGTATCTATGCTCGTTCCTATGCTCGTACCTATGCTCGTACCTATGCTCGTACCTATGCTCGTACCTATGCTCGTACCTCGTACCTATGCTCGTACCTATGCTCGTGCCTGTGCTCGTACCTATGCTCGTGCCTGTGCTCGTACCTATTTCTCGTGCCTGTGCTCGTACCTATGCTCGTACCTATGCTTCTGCCTATGCTTGTACCTATGCTCATACCTATGCTCGTACCTATGCTCGTACCTATGCTCGTACCTATGCTCGTACCTATGCTCGTACCTATGCTCGTACCTCGTACCTATGCTCGTACCTATGCTCGTGCCTGTGCTCGTACCTATGTTCGTGCCTGTGCTGGTACCTATGCTCGTGCCTGTTCTCGTACCTATGCTCGTACCTATGCTCCTGCCTATGTTTGTACCTATGCTCGTAACTATGCTCGTACCTATGCTCGTACCTATGCTCGTACCTATGCTCGTACCTATGCTCGTACCTATGCTCGTGTGTGTACTCATACCTATGCTCGTACCTATGCTCGTGCCTGTGCTCGTATCTATGCTTCTGCCTATGCTCGCACCTATGCTCCTGCCTATGCTCGTGCCTGTGCTCGTACCTATGCTCGTACCTATGCTCGTGCCTTTGCTCGTACCTATGCTCGTGCCTATGCTCGTACCTATGCTCGTACCTCAGCTCGTGCCTATGCTCGTTCCTATGCTCGTGCCTATGCTCGTACCTATGCTCGTACCTACGCTTGTACCTATGCTCGTACCTATGCTCGTACCTATGCTCGTACCTATGCTCGTTCCTATGCTCGTGCCTGTGCTCGTACCTATGCTCGTACCTATGCTCGTGCCTGTGCTCGTATCTTTGCTCCTGCCTATGCTCGCACCTATGCTCCTGCCTATGCTCGTGCCTGTGCTCGTACCTATGCTCGTACCTATGCTCGTTCCTGTGCTCGTACCTATGATCGTGCCTATGCTCGTACCTATGCTCGTACCTATGCTCGTACCTATGCTCGTGCCTGTGCTCGTATCTATGCTCGTACCTATGCTCGTACCTATGCTCGTACCTATGCTCGTACCTATGTTCGTACCTCGTACCTATGCTCGTACCTATGCTCGTACTTATGCTCGTACCTATGCTCGTACCTATGCTCGTATCTATGCTCGTGCCTGTGCTCGTACTATTCTTGTGCCTGTGCTCTTACCTCTGCTCGTGCCTGTGCGCGTGCCTGTGCTCGTACCTATGCTCGTGCCTGTGTAACAGGCCACTTTTCCAGGAAATCCTGGCCAAGACATGTACTCTCATCTGCTCCTGTGCTTGCACCCTCCCGCCCTCCCGTACTTGCTGTGCATAAGTGGTCAGCACTGAGAGGCACTGGTAGAGGCAGTGCTACATGCAGTGTCCATACCTTCTGCTCTGTGTGCCCCCTGCCACTCACCCCTTTGCCCCTTCAGTGTTCAAGTGGACAGCACAGAGAATTTTCGACACGCCAGTTGCCACAGGCAGGCACTATGACCTGTGCTCTCTGTGTGCTCCCCCACCCGCCCTCACTATGACTTTGTTTGCCTTTCCTGCTCCCTCCCCCTCCCCCCTCCAGTCACTAAGTGAACGGCTCAGAGAGTTCTCGCCAAGGCAGCTGCGAGATCCAGCTAGCTTGACGTGTTCTCTCTGTGTGCCCCACCACCTGCCCCTTCCTCCTCTCCCCCCTCTAGCGGACAAGTGGACGGCACAGAGAGTTCTCGCCAAGGCAGTGCTGCAGGCAGCCTCTGAGACTTGTGTTCCGTTTGCCTTTCCTGGCCCCTCCCCCTCCACCCTTCAGTGGACAAGTGGACGGCGCAGAGAGTTCTCGCCAAGGCAGCTGCCACAGGAAGGCATCACGACTTGTGCTCTCTGTGTGCTCCCCCACCCTCCCTCCTCGCCACCCCTCCCCCTTCAGTGGACAAGTGGACGGCACAGAGAGTTCTCGCCAAGGCTGTGCTACAGGCGGGTGCACTCATAACGTGTGGGATCATACAAGTGTGCCTGCTGCAGCGGCTCTTTGAAAAGAGGCTCAAGATGAGCCGCGTGTAACCCAGTCCCCGGACTCGCTAGATGAGTGGAAAGGCATGAGGAGGATCGGGGGGAAGTGAATTTCAGTAACAACCTTAGCAGTGGTGCTGAGTGGAAAGGCGCCAGGAGTATAAAGGGGAGGTGGGAGGGGGAGAAGTGGAAGGAAGGGGAGGAGGGGGCGTTAGGGGTATATTAAGGGCTGGAGATGCGGTGGTGATGACAAGAACGAGAGGAGCAAAGGACCAACCCGTTTGCTGCTGCGGTTGTGGGATTTTTGGAGCTACTGTAGTTGCTGTTAATGCTCCAGCATAGCAATGAGGCTGTAGGAGATTGAAGATGCAGCAGCGTGCTGTAATGAGCAGAATCACAAGTCTTTAAAATGCTAGCATCATGCTTCTTCAATGTGTAGGGATACGTTTATATTCTAATAAGGTCATACACTAGCTGATTGCTGTCAATCCAAGTCCAGTTTTCCATGTCAAGTAGGTTAGACCCATCAAAGGGTTGTTTGGGATGTGCTGAACTGAAAGAGTTCTCTTTCATATAAGCCACAAATACTGTAAGAAGTCTCAAGTACTATGGTGCCACAGCATTCGCTTTCAAGCACTATATTGAAGACATACATGAATAAGCCTACACAAGATGAGCAACTAGTGTCTACGAGCACCAGCCCAGAGCCATCCCTTGGGGAGCGCTCCAGGCCAGAGCCATCCCTTGGGGAGCGCTCCAGGCCAGAGCCATCCCTTGGGGAGCGCTCCAGGCCAGAGCCATCTCTTGGGGAGCGCTCCAGGCCAGAGCCATCCCTTGGGGAGCGCTCCAGGCCAGAGCCATCTCTTGGGGAGCGCTCCAGGCCAGAGCCATCCCCTGGGGAGCGCTCCAGGCCAGAGCCATCCCTTGGGGAGCGCTCCAGGCCAGAGCCTTCCCTTGGGGAGCGCTCCAGGCCAGAGCCATCCCTTGGGGAGCGCTCCAGGCCAGAGCCATCCCTTGGGGAGCGCTCCAGTCCAGTCCCCGCAAGAGTGCAAACCTTGGCTTGATGCCAACCTGGAGCTGAGGACTCAAAGCAGAGCCACACCTGAATGGCAGCAGATTATCATCCTTCCAACCCCCACCAATTCCCAACCCACTCTCCCGAACACCCTGACAAGCAGGGTGCAAAAAAGAGACCTACCATCATCCCACTTCCCCACCTCCCAACCACCTTCCCACTGCTGCAATCTTCTCGAGGCTATGCTTTAGTGCTTTTCACCTTCATCCAGCTGGAGTGTGCATTTGCTGCTTCTCAGCCGACTTTTTTTTTTTTTTTTTTTTTTTTAGCAGTTCTTTTTTTTTTTTGTCTTTTTTTTTGTTATCCAGGAGGTAATCAGGTCCCCTTTCCCACGGGGATCCTCTGGGAGGTTCCCTTTCTCATGTGTGCAGTCACGTTGGAGGTCAAAATCAGGTCCCCTTTTCCACTGGGAGGTTCCCCAAGGGAGGTCCCCTTTCTCATGTGTCTCAGGTGCAGGTCTTGGTAGATCAGCAAGTTGGAGGGTGGAGCTTGCAACGAGTTACAGCGGTGCTTACGGCCGCCACGGACGCCGTGAGCTCGCAACCAGTGCCACCTTGGACGACGATACAGCACGAAGCTTCTTCACTGGAGCCGCGGGAATCGCATCACTCCTGCCTTCGAGCTGCTTCGCGCCATTGGAACTCCTTCTTCGCACCTGCTTCTCAGCTGCTGCGGCTCCTGCGGGTCGCGGAATCAACGTCGTCCCCTCCGCGCGGCTTTTCACGATCGTTCTTTGACCGCTTGGTTTGGGGATGCGAGACGGCAGCAGGAGTGACGCATGATGTACTGAACGAGTCGCAGCTGCCTTCGCCAAGCCAGCTGCTTTGGCCGTCGGAGAAACTTCAGCCGGCGGCGGCGTCACCGGTTCGGATGCCACTGGTTCGGACGTTACCGTTTCAGACGTTAATTGTCCCGCGGTGGTGGTTTCCGAGGTCACAGCCGGTACAGAGGCCACCAAATCTGTCGTTTCCCGATCTGGCATCGACGGATCAGAGGACGTCGGATCGGACGTCATCGGATCCAGCGACGTCGTCGAACCGTGCGATGCTGCAGCTTCAACAAGACAGGCGTCGCTGCGGCTGGCGTCGTCGAAGGTCTCAGTGCTTGTGTCAGCGCAGGAGAGCACCGCGTCGCTGGCCTCCCTGCAGCAGGACGTCAGGCTGAGGCTGCTAACCTGGCGGAGTTTGCTCGCGTTGGAGGAGCTCCGAGGCTGCAGTGATGGCTGCGTCGGTTTGTTGCTATTGAGGCTCTTCCAGAAGCTAAAAGCGTTGTTGAAGTACGACGGGTAGTCTGAGGCCATGGTGCCGATATCTTCACGAGATAAGCAAACGTCAAGGTAGTCTTAAACACTAGAGCTGATAGTGTGAACAAGTCAAGAGGGTGATTGAAAAGACGTCCAGGCTGCAGATTTGTAGGCACTGTCGAGTGGAAGAATGGAGGGGAGGGGAGGGGAGGGGAGGGAAGAGAAGTGGTCTTCTGGCTTGTCGGAGGTGAGGGCTGGTCAGGCTCGGGAGCGAGAATGGCGAAGGTGTTCCCGAGACCCTGACCTGCCCAAGTTTGTGCTCATTTGCCCACGCAAAGTTCCGTGTGGCTGCCGAGTTCGAATTTTTGGCCCGCGCTGCTCCACAGCAAGACTCCTTACTGGGGATCAAGCCCACGAACATTTCGGATTACTGCCATGCCAACAGGCATTTCAAAGACTGCCCTGAACAATGCTTGAACGGACCCTGAAAAGTTTTTTGACCACGCTACGTACGACGGGGTCGGCGAAATTTGAGCTCGCAAGGAGCGACAACCTCGGGGGAAGCCAGTCAACACCAGTGTTTGACTACGGATGCTGGTAAACCGTACTCACAACCGTTATAAATCTCAGTACCGTACTGAAATGTTTTTAATTGTGTTACCCCGAAAGCTTCGCATATGAAGCCTGGCCTGAACTTTGGTGCCGAACCTCCTCGCCTTGCTATCCCGCAAAAGTCGAATTCATGTTTCGAGGTTCTCGGTTAGTGCAGCTTCACTTTTCCAGTTATTTTAATTAGTGTCATCTCATCTCCCATAACAGATGCTAACTTGCAACCACTATTGCATATTACTATGAATGAATTGAATTTAACTAGGATGGAAACACCTGCATACATGCCTACGTATATAAAAAACCCAATCCTAATCCATATAGCATGCAGCAACCAGAGCTCTTTCTAACACCTCACCAGAGAGTAGCATGCAGTGACAAAACATGTTTGGTAAACCAGTTTTATAATCATTGGCAAGGCAGAGGTGCCTGAGTTGGTTTGCGAGCTGGAGCTGGGGCAGCCCTCTCTAGTCTTTTGAGTCGACTCACATATTACCTCCCAGTGGTGTAGAGTATTATGCATCAGGGAAGAGGCGCCTGAGTTGGTCCACAGTGGTGGGGTGGTGGGTGATGGGGCAGCGACCAAACTGGAGAGCGACGATGCGAGGGGATGGTGGAGAGGGGAGAGGAGAGGGAAGATGAGACGGGAGATGAGAGGGGAGAGGATGGTGGAGGGGTAGCAGATGCAGGGGTAGCAGAAGATGAAGCCAGAGGTACAGCCTTGGTTACAGGGTTACCAACCTTATCCACGTAGGCGAAGATGCAGGGGTAGCAGAAGATGAAGCCGGAGGTGGCAGGGGCGGTGGGGTTGGTGCGACGGCACAGGCAGAGTGGACACAGGGAGCGATCAGAGGGCACTGGGATGCCTGCAGGGGCCACCTGGAGGGGTGACAGGAGGAAGTTAAACAGGAAAGGGTCGTACAGGAATGGGTTGTATGGGAGCGGCAACAAAGGCAGAGGGAGACACAAGAAGCGATCGGCAGGTACTGGGATGCCTGCAGGGGCCACAGGTAGGGATGAGGGCGGAAAGGGGAAAGGGGAAACAGTAAAAGGGTTGAACCGGAACAAGTTACAGACAAACGGGTTACAGGAGAATGGCTGAGCTTACTCTGTCGTAATATGTACACGCACCACATTCTTTGAAAAATGAACTTGCCTTGGGGGGTAGGGGGGGCGGTGGCGGAGGGTACACAGTTGGCGCACTGAGCTTCTGCTCGCCTGTCTGGTACCACCACTCGGCCATCTGATGGGGTTGTGAACGAATGGAGGAAAGCATGGATGACAGAGTGCCGTCAGCAGAAATACTGAAATTGGTACGGCAGCAAGACGCGCTACAATTTTGCTCGGCATTTAGTGGGGACATGCCATGTGGTGGTATCCAAGCAAAGGCATGAGACACCTTGAACTTAATTAAAAGCCGCGTACCTTGAAGGCAAAGACAGCAGCAATAACGGACGTCTGCGCATAGTCCATTGTGAAATAGAGGGCCTTGAGTAGCGCTGCTTGCACGGCCTGCAAGGAGAGTAGCAGGGAGGGGAGATGCAGCAGTGAAAAGAAATGAGAGCAGTAGCAGCAGCAGCAGTGGTGATGAAGGCAATAACGGACGTCCGCGCATAGTCCATGGTGAAATAGAGGGCTTTAAGAAGCGCTGCTTGCACGGCCTGGTTTGGATGGGAGTGGGGGCGAGGGACGGGTGGGACGAAGCTTCGGCAGTGAGAGGAGAAGCTCCGCTCACAACTGCTGCGGTTGGCTTCGTTGTCACTGCATCCCCTGCGTCCCTCCCTTCTGCTTGCTTGGTCTGGATGGGGAGAGGGGAAGACTGAGGCAAACGAGTGAGCGTCGGAGGGAGGAGCGAGGAGAAAAGCGGTGAAGGAGGTCTGATCAAGAAGCATAAATGGCCTATCAACCCTGTCCCCTCACTCCTGTTGCAGAAAAAAACCCAATACCACACCGATACAGCTACAGGACACAAACTTTAACATAACATGAGGCTGGTAACCACGAAATCTCACCCGTATAGCGCGTGGGCCTGGGAGGCGCTCAAACTCTCGCTGGCGGCGGGTGGAGATAGAGGACGAGGCCTCTGCCTGCACGGTCAAGTGGGGAAGATTGATCCATCTGAGC